AGAAGCCCCTTCCATAGTGGCAAGGTCTTGACCAGTCCTTTTGGATCAGGTGCATTTGCCCTGCTGCAATGCTCATAAGGGCCTAAGTTATGCAAGGTCTCCTGGTGTTCACTCAGCACCTTGTAGACCAAACCACTGTCAACATAGGGTTTTGCAAAGTGTCTGGCTCCTCCTCTGCCATGGCCTTTTCCAAAGCCATCTTCTTGTTCTGCTTTGGTGGCCATGACCTGTGGCCTTTCCCAAAGCCAAAACAGTATCTTGAAACTTTCTATGTATATTGCAAAATCCTTGAGCAAAACTACACAAACAAATCAGTCAGAACATCACAATTAAAATCAATAGAAAGCTCAAAAACCAAATCAATATTTTACTCAAAACCTTGGCCAAGAAAAGGTCATATTTTCTTGATTGATTTTCCATGATTTGGGGAAAATCAATCAAAAACACATAGCCGCAGATTGATTCTAATCAAAAAGCGATGCTCAGGGATAATTGTGTGTCGATCCGAACTCGAACTCGAACCGGTCCACCCCCCCCGCGATTGTGTTGTCGATCCGAACTCGAACTCGAACTCGAGCCGGTCCACCCCCCCCGGCTCGATAATTGTGTTGTCGATCCGAACTCGATCTCGAACTCGAACTGGTCCACCCCCCTCTCGCTCGATCCACGCAATATCTCGCGCATCGAACTCGAACCTGAACTCGAACTCGAACTTGAACTCGAACTCGAACGGGATCAGTTAGAACTACCTGGGGCACGGCCTGTAATGTGTTTGAAGTTTTGCTTTCTGAATTTGAAAGACAATGCATGTTTAGTTGACAATTTGTCGACAATCTTTGTCTACCGCAGCCGCTTCCCAGCTCATGCGCGCTGACAATCGGGATCGACCATTTCGAGGACAATTTCAAGGGCAACAATGGCCATGGAGATGACGATTCCAGACTACCACAATCAGCGTTGACTTCCCACAAACTCGACAATCTCCTTGTGGGAGTGGGAGGACCGAGCAGTCATCTACAATGAGAACAATATGGAGAAGTCAGAGGACGAAGAGGAAGAGAAAGGGACAAAGCGTCCCAGACAATCCTCTGAGACTCCACAAGATCAGATGGAAGACATGGAGGGCTAGAACAATGGCTCGACAAGCTGCAGACCTCTAGCAATGACAATGCCATACGTGCACAACGATGAGAAGGGCAACAATGCTGGAGAGACAAGGCAGAAAAGATGTACAGACTTGCCTACAATGTTTGAACTGCTTTGTACAATAATGTTTCTTTACTGTTTCAACAATGTTTGTATTGATGGTGTGATTCAACAATGAGTCAAACCAAGGGACGGTGTCAAGATAAAAGTTCCTTTACAATAGCATACTTGCTCTGTCGTAGTTTTCATGTACAATTGACCGGTGCTATACAATTCACCTTGGATCGAGGCCTTGAGCCTAAGGACAGTTGCCAGAGGAAAACAATACAGAGACGTGCGCAAACAAACGACAAACAAACAGCTGCTGAATTTTACAGGAGGGAGGGAGGGAGGGAGAGGCATGCAGAAAGATTGCCAAGACTTGCCATTCAAGTATGGCTGTGTCACGTCTCAGGAGCACCCTTTTGAGGACGACTGAGCTTGGCAGAAAACTGCGTACAAAAAGCATAGACATCAAGTCTCTTCAGCAGCTTCAGGCTTTAGGTGCTAGAGAATGGCAAACGGCCTACTGTATAGCAGTGCTGGGCCGGTACGACCGACTCTGCCAGGTCAGACTCGGCCCGACGGGAGACGAGAGTACGCAGCTCAAGGCAATTTGTCACAGCCGCGGCGCTCCAGTGGGGCATTCTTTGGAATCAGCTCGTAATCTTTATGCGTTTTGCAACGTGTTCTTGGAAGGCAAGACTATTTTGGAATCGAAGGCATTTAAGGAATTTGAAGGAATTTGAGGCGTTTAGACTCTTGCTGCAATGCAAAGTTCGCACATCAGTTTTTTCAGAACAAGCGCCGTCTCCGAAACAAGCACGAGCAGTGCAAACTTGGAAACTCGTACCACGCCTTCCTTTAGCCTCCCTGTCTTCTGCTTTCATTGAGCACCAAATGCATGAACCGCTTCATTTGTGGTTCCAGCGGAAAAGCTTCAGAACGCGACACTGGCCCGCAGCATGGCAGGCGAGTTCACTAACACCATGGCTGGCTTGTAGGAAGTCGAAGAATGCCGAGATTGTTTCTCACATTTCTACCAGGCAAAGTCTCACATTCCCACCTGCTACAGATACAATTACAATTGGAATGTTATTGGTTTGCTTGGCAGGTGAGACGAAGGCTGGACATCGTGTGGGTAGATTAGATAGAGAGAAGGGAGGGGACTATATAAAACATGTAAAGAAGAGAGAAAGAGAGAGAGAGAGAGAGAACGAGTGAGAGGGAGAGGGCGAGAGTAAACGGAGTCAAAGTTGGATGGGAGGGAGGAAGGGAGAGCTTCCTTCGCCAGAGGCATTGAAGCCAACAGTCAAACATGTTTGCCTCGATCTTTATTGCTTTGCAGTCTCTCACGTTCTGCCGCATTGGCGCCAGTCCAAGAAGATAGTCAAGAAGACAAAGCAGCCCATCCGTTTGTATGCAAAGGGCGTTATTTTGGGTGACCTGGCTAAAGTGGCACGAAAGAGTCACTGCCATCAGCTGCCCATACTTTTTGCAGCGTTGCATTGCAAAGGCTACAAGCGCAGCAAGTCCAACTGCTATGCCAACTGCTCTTTGTTGAAGATCGATGGTGTTCGCACCAAGGCAGGCTGCACTGCAGTTCTGAAGACAGGTGACAATTGTTGCTACGATCCATTATTCTAGTGATTCTGGTGATTGCTAGCGTATGTGGAAAAGGTATGAATGAATGACGCAATCACATTGTTTGTTCCCGTCATGCTGAGGAGGACACTCAGTTCTACATCGGCAAGAAAGTGGCATATGTCTACAAGGCCAGGTGCGAATGGACAGTCTGACTTGCTGTTTGAGCCAACCAGTAACCCGAAGCCTTTCCAGAAGCAACACTTCATGATGATCATGGGAGACACCGCTGAAGCATTGTTGCAAGGATAGGAGGGACATATGACCCCGAGCTGTACAGGGAAACGCGTGGTTCCTTACCCTATCTATTCTGAACTTGTCAGGGTAGCTCATATATAATCATCGCAGGTCATGCTACTGGCATTTTTTCTTTCATTCGCTTTGATGTATTAAAGGCATACAGTTTTTAGGCATACAGTTTTTTCCAAGAGCAGGATTGAGGAGCAACATGTTTGAGTTTAATATCTCACTGAAATCATGTGTTCCTAGATCAATGCCTTCGAACAGTATGGGATTTGTGTTAGCAGACCTGCGCAGCCTTTGGTTTCACCTTTGAGTGCTTCTGAGGCAAAGAAAGAGATTCAGAACAGCAAGTTCCGAGTGATGTGGGGCAAGGCCAGGTCACGACTGTGCGAAGCATGGGAAGTGTCGTTGATAGCTTTGAACGTGTTGTTTCTTTGCTTTTTGCTGTTTGCTGAGACGCGAAGGTTCGTCGAGCCCACGGCAACTCTGGGGTCGTGCGGGCAAAGTTCAACAAGAGCATTCCGCCAAAGGCTGGCCACGGCTTTACTGTATATAGAATCGAAGGGGTCATTAGCCGATTCAGAAACCAACCGATCAGGCAACTACGATTCAGACACCAAAACAGCCGATTCAGAAACTACGATTCAGAAACCAAAATGGCCGATTCAGCAACTACGATTCAGAAACCAAAACAGTCCGATTCAGAAACCAAGCGAGTCCCGATTCAGAAACCAAAACAGCCGATTCAGAAACCAAAACAGCCGATTCAGAAACCAAGTCGGCCGATTCAGAAACCAAACCAGGCGATTCAGCAACTATGATGCAGAAACCAAAAGAGCCGATTCAGCAACCAAAAGAGCCGATTCAGAAACCAAAACAGCCGATTCAGAAACCAAAACGGCCGATTCAGAAACCAAAACAGTCGATTCAGAAACCATGTTAGACTGTTCAGAAACTAAGCCAGACGATGGTTGGAATGGGGGGTGGGGGGGGCAGGAACCATTGTCAAGATAATAGCGTTCCATGTGGATGCAGAAGGGGTTTTACATTCATTTATATAATATGAATTAACTTGTATCAACAGCATATGGCTGAACAGAGTGGAGGGTAGGAGCAGTGTGGGGTGGGGTGGAAGGGTGCGGGGGGTGACACGAAGTGCAACGCAGTGCATTTCGCTTGCAAAGAACACGGTCTAACGTTCCATGTGGACGCAAAGGGATTTTACACTCGAGAGCGGGTGGTCATGGGGCCTGGGTTTTGGTTTTCCCCAAATTTTAGGTAAATGCTTCAGTGGCAGCCCCTCTCCATATAAACACACATATCTATTTTTGCTCTCACTCTATACGAACAAATATATTATGTATTCCTGAGTCAGGGAAATTTTATTGTTTTGGAAGCAGCACTCAATCATTCAGATGGTTTTGAACAAGATAATTAGAAAAGAAGCAGGCCATAAAAGTGGTCGTTTTAACAATTGTCCCCTAGATCTCTGCTTATAGTTATATTTTGATTTGGAAAGATTGTATATAGACGCTTGTATGTTATAAAAGATTCTCTATAGTAGATCTCTGCAGATAATCATGTTTAGATTTAAACAACTATATAGAAACCTTGTATGTTAAAAGCTTTCTTCTAGATTTCTGCGGGCAAGAGCTTGCATTTTCAAAGCTTTCCTCAGGATCTCCGGGAAAGTAGATATCCCACATATATATATATATGTATATATGTGTTTTCATGAAAGGAAAGCTCTTGAAAGAAAGACTTATTTATTGATATATAGCACGACCATTTCCAGAGATCCAGGGGAAAGCTTTTGAAATGAAAGCTTATATATAGTTTTATTGTAGAAATGATCATCCCCAGAGATCTAGAGGGAAGCTCTTGAATTAGAAGCTTGTACACACAACATGTTTAATATGTATATATTATCTCCAATGATTACTGACAATAAATAAATCTAACTATTTACTCCCAAAAAGAGTTTTAGTCTTGTTCCCAGCACTTCCACAGCAAAAAATACTGTAAAACACGGGGTTTTGTAGCATGTGTTCTCTTAAACTAAATAGACTAGAGCTAGAATAGAATTAGGTAGAATTAAATTGGATTTGAGTTAGAGCTAAGATAGAACTGAATCAAAACCGAATTTTAACTAAACTTGTATTGAACTATAACTATAGCCTAATTGAAATTAGATGAAAGTTGAATTTGAAAGGAATTGAAACTAAAATTAGAAGTTCGCCAGAATAAGATGTAAACGCTTGAGCTACAAGCACAGAAGTACGCTCGCAAAGATTTCCAACCGTTTCATGTAAAGGACAGAGTGTCCTCGCAACTGCATGTCAAGCTGTTTGGAAATGCAAGTGGCAACCGCATTGATACCAGTCAGCAGTTAATGCACTCAGACTTGTATATGGAGATTTGGACAAGGACAAAGGAAGTGTTGAGCTCAGACGGTTTCAGATGTAAGCAAAAAGAACAGATGCCTTGAGGTGAGAAGTAAGCTCAGATGCTAAACCAAAAAACCTTGAGAAAACAAAAAATAAAAAACATTCTGAGAGACTCTTGCTTGGACCCCCCAAAATCAGAAGAATCAGAAAACCAAAAAAACCTTGGGAAAATCAAAAAAACCTAAAAAACCAAAAAAACCAATTCTGGGGAAGTCTTGAGGAAAAGGGGGTCCAGCCAAGAGTCTCTGAGAATTGTTTTTTTTTGGGTTTTTTAGTTTTTTTTGGTTTTCCCAAGGTTTTTTTTGGTTTTTTGGTTTTTCTGATTTTGGGGGGTCCAGCCAAGAGTCTCCCAGAATTGTTCTTTTTTGTTTTTTGTTTTCTTAAGGCTTTTTTAGTTCTTTTTTGGTTTTTATCCTTTATGCATATTTATCAGTGTTTTTTGGTTTTGATTGTGGCACTCCTTTATGCATATTTATCAGTGTTTTTTGGTTTTGATTGTGGCACTGATGCATTTACCTAATATTCATGAACATTTGAGGAAAACCAAAACCCAGGCCCCATGGCCACCCCTTCTGTTACACTCATTCATATATGAATTAATTTGTATCAACAGCATATGGCTGAACAGAGTGGAAGGTAGGAGCAGTGTGGGGTGGGGTGGGAGGGTGGTGGGGGTGACACGAAGCGCAATGCAGTGGATTTCCCTTGAAAAGAACACGGTCTCTAGAGAGGTCCATCGGACAATGCTCGGACGAGTCGAATGCAGTCGCGCAGTGAAAGCAAGCGGCTTTTCCCAGTCTTGAGCCAAATGTGTCAGTCATGTACACACATACTGTATGAGGTGAGACCATGCAGAGGTTAGTTCACAGAAAAACGAAACACAGGGGGTGGGAGGTGGAGGGGGAGTCATGGCCAAGATAAAAGCGTTTCTTGTGTTGCTTCGCGGAGAGATTTTGCATCGGTGGCACTACCACCACCACCTACTACTACTACTACTGCTGCTGCTGCTGCTGTTGCTGCTGTTACTACTACTACTACTACTACTACCACCTGAGTCATCAATTTTTTCTTTTGGAAATGTGTTTGGTTTGCCTGGTTTTGGTTACCGAATCAGCGGTTTTGGTTACCGAATCAGCGGGTTTTGGTTACCGAATCAGCGGTTTTGGTTGCTGAATCAGACGTTTTGGTTGCCGAATCAGCGCTTTTGGTTACCGAATCATAGTTACCGAATCAGATCGTTTCGTTACCGAACCAGACGTCGACCAATCGAAGGTGAGCCATGCGAGAAGCATGTGGAGTGCAACAAGTGTTTATTGTATAATTACATATAGTTAGTAATTATGCAGTTAATTATGTACTTTATATATAAATATATATATATATATGTAGTTTTTGCCTGGTGACTGGTGAGCAGCATAGAGCATTAGATGTGCATGGGTGTAAATGATCTTGGCCAGGCATTCGGCGCAGCATGCAGGGTGATGCTGTATCCAAGCACCATGGCTCACAGCTCTGTGGTGTTTTGCTTCAAAATAGATAGACCTTCGCCTGCTCTGAGCCTACTCTTGTACTTTGACTGAGGCAACATTTGAGAACATTATGCGTGATCTCAGAGCCGGTGAACGTGACGATCGTTCTGTGCAGATCAAAAAAATCGATTTTGGACTTCAATTTGCCTGACATCATGACATCAGGATCAAACCCAGATTGCAGATGACACGTAGCACCTGTGCCTTTGTACTGCTTTGAAGAAGTGGTGAGGTGTGGATCCTACTGCAAAGTGATGAGGACAGCAAAAGCAAGCTTGGCAGGTTAACATGCACACACACACACAACGACACACACACAGACACACACACACACACCCTCGAAGAAAGCTATGAAAGCATCGCGGGGCAGCTTTCCAAAGCTCCTCCACCCTTCGCCTTCCTGTCCGTGTTTACTTGGGAGCCATAGCAGTCAACGCCATACACGATTGTCCGGAAGATATGTTCCACAAATCCACAAACCTGTCCTTCGGCTTTCAGCAAGCGGGTGCTCGCCATTTGGGCTTTCCAAGCTGTCCTCACTTGTCACAGCCCTAGTCACCAGAGTCCAAACTTGCAAACCGAAATTCAATTTGCCTGGCCTGAGGTTTGATCATGGCAGACGAGGCGAAAGTAGAGGAGAAGGACAATTTCGACGTTGGCCCGCTGTTGGACTCCCAGAAATTCTTACGAGCAAAAAAACTTTTGCGATGTAACACACCTGCTGATCAGACCTGGAAGGGCATGATGGACGAGCCAAATGCAAGTGATTTTTCCAGCTTCAATGCCGTTGCAACAGATTTTGGTTCGAAGCTGGCATCCATTGCACAGAGATCCCTCACACCGGGTTTTCGGAAAATAATGTTGAAAAAGGCTGTTGATCTGTTGCAAGGCGCATTGGAAAACATAATTTGCAAGTTTGCAAGGAGAACGCGGCAACAATGCCCCCATAGCAGACACCATCACAGGCACACAAGAAATCACAGAAAGCGCAGCTGGCATGCCTCATGGGCCCTGCAGGTTGGCGTCATGTGGGAAGACATCGGCATCGACGCAGGAATTGCTTTGGAGGAGCGAGGAGTTTGGTTGCAGGATGGAGCAGTTTCTGAGGATACAGCTGCTGAGGTGAGGCAAGAGATCTTAAAATGCCATGTAGGTGGCCTGCTGACGCAGAGTGGCAACAAGTTGGCTGTCAGATTGCCTGATGGAACACGAGGTGGACGCGTTTGCAAGAAGCTGCATGTTTTTGAAGCCGATGTAATCGTTGACGGAGCTGTGAACTGTCCGCAGGTACTTCAAGAGTGTCCAGTGTTGGCTGCCCTGTTAGCACAAGAGGCACATCTTCGTAAGCACTTCAGCAACTTGCGACCTTGGCTGCGTATTGATCGGTTGGAGCAGGCCAAGGTGCAAGTGAACACTGGCAGTGGTGGGGCCTTTCCCTGCCACTTTGACTTGCCGGCAGACCCGAAATCTGACAAGCGGCTTCTGACAGTTTTGTTGTATTTGAACCCGGACTGGACTGCCGGTGATGGTGGAGAGGTGGAGGTTTTGCCCTTCCCGTTTGAGAATTGTATCCTCCCGCCAGTGAATAGACGCTTGGTAGCCTTCTCCTCTTGCACAACTCTTCACAGGGTGCGGCCTTTCCATGGACAAAGTCGAGTTTGCTTAAATTTATGGTTCGAAGGAGAGGCTCAGCTTCCGTTTCCTGCGCCCTTGCAGCCAGACCTTTACAATTATGACGCATGCAACATCGTGCGGATTCTACGCCAACGGCCGGCTGAATTGAGGGCCTTCTGCAAGGTGTGGTACAGTGACACGATGATTCAATCTCTCCGCGATGCATTTGAGGAATGCCAGGAGTACTGATGGTGGGTGTTTGACATTGATTGGTAAGGCGTTTGAAGTGAAGGGCTGCAATCACCGGAACCATGTTGATAGAGCTCAAAATTGTTAGACATTTTTATATAGGCCCTTCAAGTTTCAGGCAGACATTAGGCTTTCTAAGCACTTTCCTGTTTGCATTTTTTTGCAGTTTTCTTTTTTTGGCACCTCGAATGCATTCTGAAGGCGCACATTTGGGAAGTGTTTTCTTCCACAGTTGCTGGCGACTAGTGACTAGTGACGAGTGCTTTTTGACCAGTATATACTTTAACTGAATCATTCAGCACACGTTAGGAGCTCCAGGCTGCGGTAGACCTACACATGGAAGAAATGACGGCAATTCAGTCCCGCATCTCCAGATCAACCTTCGATATTCTGCAAGAGTGCTTGCCATTTGTGTACGACAACAAGAAGGACGAAGTCCCTGAGGCAGGGGAACTGGTTGATTTGTTTGATGGTCTTTGACCGTTGATGTACATATTGAGATCGATTGTCACAGCTGACCACCAGCTCTGACCATTAGTGTGGCCATCTCTGACTGAGAAGCTGTTGCAAGTCAAGTTCGTGACACAATGCGAGCGCTTTCAAAGACATGTTTGTTTTTACAACGGCTCGCTGGCAGTAAAATGAGTTCATCCAAAACATAGCACAAACAAGAGGCGACTCGCATGGAATCGGTGATTTTCAGAGACAGACCGTGTTTTGGCATGCTCATGTCAATGTCAACATGGACAGGTGCTTTTTCGTCAGAATCTTTGTGAGCTCAGGTCTGTCCTGCAGAAGTGTGTGAAGGACAACTCTCAGGCATTTCTGACTGGTCGCGATCTGTTGGAGTGCACTTGAACTACTGGTAGCTAGTTAGCAGAGACACCCTTTTGCTGGAGCAAGCCCTCTTTGTGCTCCGAGCCCATCCACAAGCTATTGGCGTGTTGTAGTTCGATTCCCTATCGAGCCGCAGAACCTAGAACAGCCAAGTAGCTCAAAGGCGTTCTCCAGCCATTCTACTGGAAGCAATCTTGCAATGATTCCGATTGAGTCTACCGATGCCAATGTCTTTTGCCTTGCCTTTCTCTTCGGCGTCAGAGGTGCTCATCAACTGCCGCAACAACCGCAAGATCTTGGCGCGCGTGAAAGCCTTTGACCGCCACTCGAACATGGTCTTGGAGAATGTCAGGTGTGGTTTTCGAACAGATGCCAAAAGACGGCTAGAGTCAATGGTGAGCAAAGCGTGCAGCATGGCCCAACATGCTTGCAGGGAAATGTGGACTGAAGTACCGCACCTTGCCTTCACTCATGACCTAGGACATGACTTTTGGAGGGTTTGTGCTCATTGGCATTGCATCGCGTTCCGAGTCGCAGCTTGATGTGACCAAGACATGAGGCACGGAGGCAAGAAGAAGGCGAAGCCTGTGAACAAAGACCGTCCTTTGTCAGCACAGAGGCTGTGTGACCCGGGCATCGCTACTAGGAGCAAGGATGCTATTAGGGGCTCCTGGCATCGCTACTAGGAGCAAGAAGCTACTTGGAGCAAAGGGCATCGCTACTGGGAGCAAGGATGCTGTGACCCACCTTCTCTCTCTCTCTCTCTCGTATGCTTCTTGTGGCTCACCATGCGTGCCTGAGGCTTCATCAGCAAAATGTTCCTGCGCGGGGACTCCGTGGCTTGTTTGCAGTACCATGGGTGGAAGGAAAGTCGTACATTCCAGTGCACTTGTTCCCAAATCTCTTTGCTCAGGTCATTCTGGTCCTTCGCAATCCCAAGTGAAGCATGTGAAGCGCAAGTTTTGTGTTTGGCTTGGCTGGCCTGGGAGATCAGCCGCAGCATTCCAACTCACATCATTTTGCAGTGGATGAAGTGCGATTGAAACTTGAAACCAATGCTGTCCATCCGAATCTATTCATGTGGGTTGGAAATGCCAACATTGTAGAACAATCCCCCACCGAGCTCCCTACGTCAGGATAGACAAGTTGAACAGGAGCACTACAGCAAGCCTTCTTAGATTCGATTTCTTGATTTTTGGATCCAAGGGTTTCAGAGACCTCACTTAGAAAAAACGAGTTCAGTCGCACCATTTGTTTGCATCCATTTGCCTCCTAAACTACATAGAAAACCATTCGAAACCAACAAGTCACACTCTCAATAGCCTGCTGACAAAGATACACCAACATGAATCAACATGAGATATCAAACATAACACGGCCCAACAATGCACACGAGGATTCGCTTCTAGTTGTGCCAGTGATTCATTGAGACCGCGGTTGATCCCGAAGGTGCATTCGCATACGAAGATATAAGGCCCAACATCGGCTGTACCGTGCAGCATGTCAACCCATGGGGTTGCGAGGCAATGTTTCTTCTTGTTGTCGAAAGCACGTAAGACTTGTCAAAAGTAAGCCGTGGTGTTTTAGAATCATACACGCACGAGTGGATAGAGAAAGCATGAGAAAGCCTTGTAGCCTTCGGAGTTGCTTTCGTGCAGCTGTTCAGACGAAAATGGTGGGTAGAGCGGCAAAGCTCCTGAGTGGAGATGGAACTGAGCTCCACTACAATCAACAAGACAAGTTGTGGGGGCACACGCTCTCGGAATCAACAAGCAAATGTGATGCAGGACCTGGCTGGTTGAAGGTGGCAAAGTTCAAGAAGTGGACCTGGATGAGGACCGCTTTGCCTGCGAGATCCTGCGAGCATTCAGCTGCAAAACCATGCCAAACCCTATATGATGATTGTTTTGGAGCTAATATGTGGCAGACGCCTGTGAGAAGGTGGAAGAAAGCGGAGGATGCAGCTGCGAGGCGTAGAGGTGCGGCAATTTGACTGGAACAAAGACTGCTAATAGCAATGGCCTCCAACGCTTTGGCCTTTTTCGACCCCTCTGGTCACTGTACGTAGGATTTGTTGTGTGTCGTGCTGTTGCGAAGATCTGTACGCGACAAACGGGTAACGCCCTTAGAGCCTTAGAGTTGTTCTTCCAGCAGTGTCCGTCTCCAAACTGTACCAAATGGCATTCCACGCAGGAAACATGTCCGTTTGCCTCATGAACTAACATGAAAAAAACGTTTTTGCAGCAGCAATCTCAACAATTCTACGGGGCCAGTGACTGCCAGTGTCCAACGTTCTGAAGATTGTACGAAAGGATTGAGGGAAAAGCTCTTCGCTATTTAGTTGTTGGTTCATGTCAGCCAGAGAACGCGTTGTCCTCAAAGCCGAACACCGTGCAATGCCACTCTGATGGCACTGAGCAGTTTCCCATAGGAAGATTCACGTCCAGCCAGGTGCAAGCACTCTAAACCTCTGCTTGCAACGTGCTCACGCTGTAGCAAGCCTTTGGCAAGCCAACCCATCACAAGTTTGTATATAATTCCCCTTGGTGTATTTGGCAGCCCCATGCGTCAACGAGAGAGAGAGAGAGAGAGTTTTGCACAATCTTACGTTCAGACGCGTGTTCCCTAACAAATCCTGGCATTGGCAAGCTTGCGACGCCAGCTCTCACACCACTCACGCATACTGTATTTGCATTTGTGTCCATATTAGATGCATATCATTTTGTACCTCTTGAATTCTCTTTATGTCTATGTGTTGTAGTACCGTAGTACTGCATACTGTATATATATATACAGTAATTGCATATATGACTTAACTTTAACTATATATATATAGTAAAAATAGCATAGTTCAGGTTAACGTGGACAGGCAACTCCAGTGCAGTTGTGAGACCGAGTCACAGGTGAACGATCAGGAAATTCCAAGAGGTTTTGCACGTCGCTCACATGTTGTTTAGGCCAGAAGCGCATGGATATGATGGCCAGAAGTCCCCAATTGAATCGCTTTTGATCCTCAAGAAGTGAGTCCCCAATTGACCTGTGCCTATCTTGACAAACGGTTCCCTTACAGACTGTGAGTGTAGTTGATATGCAGCATGTGGATGAGTTGATCACGTCTTTTTGCTTGAAGTGGTCACTTGGGCTCGAGCGGGCTGTGGCCACAACCAACCTTAAAAGGCCGGGTTTGAGTGGTTGCCAGGGAAGGTGCACTACAGTAGAACATGACAGTTGTGGATGTGCATTGACTTGGCAGAGCACCTTGCGCAGGCTCAAACATGCCGCAAAGTGGCTAGTCACTTGGCCGTCACACACAGAGTGCTACTGGCGAGTTGGTCTGCTCAATCTACTCATGCCAAGGAACCGTTTCTCATGCACGTCATGAGGCTTCTTGTCTACGCTCTGACCTGAGCAGCTTGATGTCCACTGATTCAACTCGATCCACAGATTCCACTCATGCTTCTTGTTCATGATTCACATGGAAGCCATATTGTCATTTTGGAATACCGTTTGGATTCAAGCAATTTACAAGCTTGGGATTCGCAACTGCCAGCACAGCATGGCTTCCGCAATTCCCTTTGCACAGTGAAACTTTTACTCTCCTGACTTTTCGTTGTATGTAGGTCTTGCTTGCTGTTCCTACACGCTCGGAGGTTTGTGATAGTGCTTTGGCTTTGACAAGTGTTCAATTTACTTTGCACAAACGGCATTCAAGCATATGAGTGGCTTGACGTGAGTTGTTTGTTAGCCGAGGCAATGTTGATTCTGCCCAGGGAGCCGCCTTGTTGCAGCACTTTGGCAAAGTTTTGAACTACGTCAGTTGGTGCCATTCTTTGTGTGCAATCCTCAAGCTTTTAGCAGCCCGGATTGATCCAGGCAGAGATCTGTACGGGATCTCTTCGTTGCATCTGTATCACCGCAGGACCTGAAGGCGTCAGCCAGTGATTCGTCAGCCAGGGCATTGCATTGTCGAGCACATGTTCCATGTCTTTCAGGAAGAAGAAGAACTCATTGAGGATGAAGAGGAGAAACCTTGGAAACAAGTTTGGCTCTTTGGCTTGAAGTCGAATGCTGCCATGAATATATAAATAATTGCTGAGGAGTTTGCTGAGGTTAACCAAGCTTCTTGAGTTGCGGCTGGTATCTTTGTACAGCAGCACCAACATGCCCCAACTACTGAGTGTGTACAAAGAGGTTTTTCCCAGTCTTGAAGCTCATGGCAGATAGGCTCCGTAGTTCAGGCCATGCGCGAGGGAACTTCGATGCTGACCGATATCTTGCTGTTGTGCTTCGTGTGTTTCAGGCGAAGACACCGACCATCTGACAAGACAGGCCAACAAGGCGTTGAAATGCGAAGCCTTGCTGTTGTTCTCTATTGCGCGCTGCAGAACCGAAGCCTTGGCACCCTTTTTCGTTTTCACATTTTCAAGATCGCTGCAATGTTGCACCAACAGAACATGTTCATGATCATTTAGCCGGCTTTGCCAATACATTATCATCGTGTTTGTACCTGCAACTGCCAATTAGAGATTTTGTCCTAAACCCACATGGACAATTCCGTTGATTGTTTTTGCGTGAGTATTGAATTCCTGCAGGGTCCTAGGTGGGAGGCCCTGCCTTGTTTCAGGGTCTGCTAGCTTGTTGACACAGTCTACAGTTTTTCTAACTTTTCCTTGAGCTGATTGAAGGTCTCATCACAGAGCTTCCATGCGGTGTGAGAATGAAGCTTAATGTGCCTCATATGCATTTTGCGCTGCGGAGGAGAACTGTAGAACTGCACACCTGAAAGTGTAGTTGGTTGCATGTGTTTGCGGCTTTATTCAATGGCATGGCTGACACCATTTACTGTACAGCTCAGGCATCCTTTAGCCTCAGTGCCTCCTGCCCACGCGCATGCCCAATGCATGCGGATCCCACAAGCAAAGCGCCCACAGATGCTTTGCTGCTCTTGGCTGCGCGAGGTCAGTGATGGTAAGAATGTACCTGTGCACATTTGTATTAGATGTATTGTATACATCATATCATATCATATCATATCATTACGAAAGCCAGCCGATAGGCTAGGCTTGAGCTCTTAGAGCGAACGAAGTGAGTTAAGGGGGTGGGGAGGGCGCGAAAAGGCACATTTTGAGAGGGTGAACCCGGAGCTTGGTGGGGGAGAGCGCTCCAAAGCGAGGGTCAGAAATGTGGTCTGGTGATGCGAGTGATGCAATGGATGCCGAGTAGTGCATCATTAGCATCATGAAGGGGTCTGGAGACAATTTTTCTAGTCCTGAGCAGGGCGTAGGGAGCTCCACGAAACTACAAGCTTTCCCCTATGGGTGCTCTGCTATTTTTTCCTCCCAGCCCTGCTCTCTATAGGGCTTCGCATTGATGCACGATACCCGAAACACATTTCAACACAACCACAAAAGCCACTTTGGGCATCATTCTCCTGGTGTTCACTGACGTGTATTTTTGCACGGATTCTCAATTAGAACACCAACAAGGGACGCTCCAGAAGGCGCCGCACCAAGCAAATCAAGAATACTAAAAACATCTAAAAACATTCAACACTTCATGCTGTGCTCCGATCTCATCTACGTCGCAGTGATACCAGCTCCACGAAAACTACAGCCGTTCAAGAATGAGTGCTCTCCTCTTTTTTTTCTCCCAGCCCTGCTCTTTATAGGGCTTCGCATTGATGCACGATGCCCGAAACACGTTTGAAAACGACCAAAAACAACCTTTCGGGCATCCTTCCCCTGGTCTTCGCTGACGTTTATTTTTACACGGATTCTCAAATAGACCACCAAAGAGCACCGCACCAGGAAAATCGAGAAAACCTAAAACGTTCAACACTTCATGCTGTGCTCCGATCTTGATCTACTCCACATTGATACAAGCTCCACGAGAGCTACAGGCATTCAACAATAAGTGCTCCGCTATTTTTTCCTCCCAGTCTTGCACTACCATATTGGTCTCTCGCTGGCTTTCGTCCTCTCCTTTCTCAGGTATCATATCATATCAGATCACACATATATATATATATAGATATACACGTCAAGACGTTCATGCGCACCCCAAGTCACTGAACCGATCCAAAGTCTTACGCTCAGGAGTTTTGCGTGAGCAAATGCGTGGCTGCTGATGAGTGCGCCAAGCACAATCCAGAGGCAACACGCGCTTGTCAGACGAGAATGGGAGAGTGGGCCAGACACGTGCCAGGTCTCAGACAGACAAATCTCAAGTTCTTCGAAGGATGGCGCTCATATGTATACTGATCACACATGCAACCGCAATACGGCCATCATTGGCCTCATTTCTGGACCAATGTGGCTAAATACATTCGTTTGAAAGCATCAATGTCCGCGACTTCATTTGAAATCAGTTTCCATCATTCCAAGCCATTATTCTGCCCACATTTTGTTGCGCGTTTTGGGTGACCTTTTCAAACTTGCTGTCACATGAGTCATATGTTGCCATTGCACACCCTGCATCTGGACGACGCGGTTCTTTTCGGCATCTATGTCGCTGAATGTGCCCCAAATGGATGCACGTTAAGGGGTTGTATTGATAACACATGCATGAGCCTGACCGATCAAAAACGGGGCAGATGGACATCAGGAACGATTCAACACCAGGCGCCCTATCACAACCATATCTGGTCCCTTAGTCCTTGGCCCCCTGGGTCGTTGTCGTTTGGTCCCTGGGTCCTTTGTTGCTCTGGTTTGGTCCACTGGACATTTTCTAATGTCTTCTCATTGTTGCCGCGCTGTCAATTAGCACATATACTGCATATATATATATAATATACATACATTTGTTTATCTGAGTTTATCTGAGTTGATGTGCGCATTTCTTTGTTGTTCTGCGTGTGTTCATTTTTGCAACATGTTTTTAACTTTATACACGTGTTGCTTTTGCCTTCCTGTTTTGCTCCTTTTTACTATATTTATTGTTATGATTTTTGTTGGCTTCTTATACGTTTTTACTTTTGTTCTGACCCTTCATGAATGCTGGACACGTTCACGCTCGACCAGGGCAGTGCAAAACTCTGCACCACTTTTTGATCCTAATCAATTGACCTACTACTACCACTACTACTGCTACTACTGCTACTGCTACTGCTACTGCTACTGCTACTACTGCCACTACCACTACCACTACCACTACCACTACCACTACCACTACCACTAGTACAGTACCACTGACGACTATTATTACAGATGCCCATCAGAGTGCTGTAAATACACACAGTTCAGCAATAATTGTTGATCCTTATTTAGTTTTTTTGATGTCCTCAACCTTTTTGATCCTGTTTATTTTGATCCCTCACCTTTGAAAAACACACTTGAGCTGGCTAGTCTTTGTCCCAGCTTTGCGTGTTTGCTCAGTTCAGTCAGTGTATTTGATCCGATTATCTTATAACAGCATTTGGCAGCCCTGACGTCAAACAGCACCTAAGAGGGATGCCACATGTCTGGAAACGACAACCCGTTGAAAGCAGCACCCTTCTCAGCAGATCCTTTTATCCGGCTTTGGAAGGCACCTGTAGCGGATAGAAGCCTGGGCTCCTGCCGTGGAGCTGTTGTGGACGGATGTGAGCAGCCTAGCCTTGATGGCACAGTAGCTTGGTTACAAGTGCGACCTCCATGGAGTCACATTCTTGGATAGAACCGACAGTTCTTTGCAGTAAAGAATCGTGAAGAGTCCCGATGCAGAAAAGTCAATGATAGCCTCTGGAAGGCGCCCAAATTCTCGCGGAGTTCTATTGCCAAGGACACATGCCTCCACTGCAACCCTTTCCGTGTTCTCAAAGATGGGACGCTTGGCTCGCAGAGTGTTCAGTTTATTGGGTGAACACTCAAGCAGGGTGGGTATGGGTGGGCATGCATTTGGAAGATTTTGGAAGTGCTTGGCGGGGCTGGAGGCAAGAAATGCATAGAGTATTGTTTGATGTTTTTTGCTCAGGCAGTGTGCTATTCGCTACTGGCGCGCAGCATACGCCGCGCTAGCTGTGCTGGTGTTCCTCGTAGTTCTGATTCTTGCGTGTCATGGCTAAACCAGAAGTGTATCATTGCATGCAAGAACCAGTAGAATAGTTCGTTTACTGTGCATCATCTAGGGCTCAACTTGAGGATTCTCGTGGACTTGCTCCTGCGCCCAGTTACCAACGAGTCCAACCTGGAGGCTGAATGTACAGGTTTGCATGGCAATAATCTCCAGGAGCTTTTTATTGCCAACCTGCATTTACTGCTCTGGGCCTCTAGGCTATCTGAGCTACTGGTAGCTGTGGGTGACACCCATGCTACTGTAAATGTTTCACTCTGACTCTGCCTAGATTGTTAGGATGCGCTTAATTATCGGTCCAAGCAGAAGTTCCGCACCCCAGAAGATGGAACGGGCCGTGGCCTGGATGCAGCGGTCACTACGCTCGTATGTAGCACCTCCAAGGAGTGCAGAGTGGAGATGGAGCACCTCCTGGTGTGTTCCACTTCATGATCTTTATTCTTGATTTGTGATGTTTTGGGCTATCAATTGCTGAGGCCATTTGTACCCACTCTCAACGAACCTTTGCAACACGATTATCGGTGGACCTGGTTTGGCTTTGCATTTCCGCTTCCAGGCTCTGACAAAGTCACACCGCCAGTGCTTCGGGTGTTAAAATGTTGCAGTGTTTCGCAGAAGCAGGCAGTGCTGATTTGCTGGGCGAGCCTTGTTTGCGCCAGCCCCGTGGCCAACATTAGAACACGTATGTAAGATGTGGCTCGTCTCCCATTTGCCCAACATGAGCAGGGCTTTTTATTGCGCCTGAGAATGGTGCGCGCCTGAATGACATTCCCCTTGAAAAGGTTTACCTTGATTTTGCACGTCAATGTCAATGTACATCAGATATCGTCAGATCATGTCATCTATCTCTCTCTCTATATATAAATGTATTATATTATTATATACTTAAACCTATATATATATATACACATCTCCAAGAGATGCCTAGAACCCTCCAGTAAATACTCATTGCGCAGTATCGAGCAAATCCAGAGTTGGTGCTTTTGATCGACATGATGCAATGCTTTGAAGAAGTCGTCGGTTCAATCAGGGGCGAAACCAAAGCTTACCCGTTACCGGATCAATTCAGAAACACATATTCAAATCGTCAACCAGAATGTCAAGCAAGGGTTTTTGTGCAGTAGGAATCGCTTATCTCGTTACGATGGGTGGCACGACTGACAGCGGCATCCGTCGTTGAATCCCGGTGAACAACTTTCACTGAATTTATGCAATAGAATGCGGATCATGCTGTGAAGCTTCTGTGCAAGGCTGAGTGCCACTTTTGCCATGGTGCATTGACAATAACATGCGCAAACAACCAGGTTGGCTCGTTCTCGCCCTTTTGACGGACTACGATTTGCTGGTTCTTGGCACCAAAGAATTCGGGACTGCATCTTGTCAGCGGCATGGATGTGGGTCGGCGGATGTGCCATGATGCAATCATGTTTTGAGAAATACTTTGGACTTGGATGCATGTTCCAGCCAAGGCTTTTCGGAACTGCGTTCTGGTTGCCTGGGGCCGCGAGACACAGCGAAGGCCTTTGCCACTCTTTGGAGAGTGCTTGCCAAATCTATCAATGCACGCACGACAACATGGCGCACGGCCAGGTTGATGTGGGCAAAGGAAAGCTTCATTGCAATTGTCTATGTGTGTTCCTTTGCAGGCAGGGAGTGAATGATTCTGGAGACTGATGTAGACTGCAGCCTTTGTATACATTCATGTTATCGTTTGGCCCATTCCGCATGCCAGCCTTTAGGCAGCATCATTTTCGGGATTCAGCAGCTTCGATTGTATCAACGCGTTGACCAGCAACATGAAGCCAAGCCGCAAGCTAAACTTTAGACTCTCCTCCAGCTCGCGAATTTGTGCTTGCCGCTGGGGATTGCTGTTGTTTTGTGTGGGCTCAGGACACCATGAGGGACTATGCAGTGATGATTTCTGGTTTGCCGCAGCTAGAAGGTAGTGAACCAGTTGAGGAAGAACTGAAGGCTGATCGTGGTGGGTGTCACTTGCCCTGGGGCCTTTATCCAAGCTGTTCCCGTTATCAAGTGATCAACATGCTTTTTGCTGAGATCTTTGATTTCCGCTGTTCACTCTTCGCCGTTGCTTTTGTACATTCTTCATATGAAGGGCACACTAATTTGTTATTCCACGGGAGGTGTTACATGCCAGAAACATGTTATTGGAACCATTTTGAGTGGAGCATGTTTTTTGTATGGAGGCCTGACGTATACATGATTATATGTCACCACCCGCCTGGAATAGTAGATTGTACCATTGCTGGAAGGCTAGAAGTTCATGGCAATTCACTGGACACGATCAAATATGCAAGCATACTTTGGATCTACACCAAATCTAATGAATCTAATGTTGAGGTGGTTGAGAGGTTGGCAACCCCTGGAATAATTGATTCTTGGGGTGGGATTAAGTATGAGGAAGATATGGGACGTAGTGGTTGAAACTGCAGGAATGCTAGAAATTCATGGCTGGAAACTTTGTTAACCTTCCAAATTTCATGGTGCCTCTTCAAAATAGCTATAAATTCTGTGTGGATTTACAACAATTGGTACAAACATGATATGATTGGAGTGGGTGCTGAGGGGTTGGCCCCCCAGAAGGAGTTTATTGTGTAGGGGGGTGGAGTAGCGGTTCAAATTTTACTGTATTTGGTTGGTTTGCAGCGTGAGCAGTCAGAGTTTTCTTGAATGACCCGATCCCAAATAGTATTTCCGATGGGTTTATTCCAACCCTTTGAAACCAGGGTGGAGGAGGATATTTCCGAAAGCTATGTACAGGGAGGTTGGAATAGCGAGAACATATACTGTATTATTCTTGGAGGGAGGCACCCTTTACCGCTACTAAGGCGCCCCATATTTTTCCATGGTTCTAGATTTTGTGCTCTACTTGATGGGCTTGGCCAATCTTGTTGCAGGATTGCCTAGAGGCAGCAAGCTCACAGCAAGTGCTTGGAGTCTCCGTGTGCTGGGCCTACCGGGAGCACAAGGAGACACGGGGCTTCTCGTATCCCAAGTGCGGCATGTGCATTCGCAGCAGCATTCACTGTTACTGTATAAAGAAATCAAAGAGGAACATAGAGGAACAAAGGCACATTCCTGCTCTAGGATGCGGTGCATCTGGAGATTGTGAAGTCTTTGCACCAGTCCGGCGTAGAAGGCAGGACGAATATGTCGAGAAACGCTGATTCTAAGACAGGCCGATCTGGGTCAGTGCTTGAGCAATAGACATGCGCCAGCGTGACACTCTTGACCTGCCAATGATGTGAGGTGTGCGACATTTCCAGCAACCAGTTGAGGACACAACCCTAGAAGACCACGCACTGTGAGACTCTCTGTGTACACTTTCCGTCGGGTCTAAAGAAGAGGGAACAATGACAGGTAAGGCTACTGTAAAGGGGCCTTTCTATGCCTGTCCGTCTTTTTAAAGCCTAACGGCCTAACATTTCTTTTGATTTTGCAGGACATGGGGCCCTTTCGGCGGACTCTCTTCCGGATTGAGGCGATGATCCTCTCAGAGGCATTGTTGTGGGATGCCTTCTTTTTTGGGACTGTTGTATGTGTGCGTGTGCCTGGAGCTTATTCCATGTTCACATTTGCATGCTTTGCCGGTGACTTTCAGTCGTGGAGCATCAAGAGCTGCTTGGAGCTCATGGCCCGTGTCACACATGTCACGTCTATCGGTTGGTCAAACGTCCGGCCGATGTCAGGGTTCCGAGCAAGAAATGTCCGAAACTGCCGGGGTCTGAGGGGTATGCTGTATGCTCAATATAGTTCTCACGCTTATTTCGGTATTTTACCCCCGAGGAGATCAAGAATCTGGTGCTATCTTTCAGGCCGAAGAGCTTGCCAAGCCGTGCATATGCTGCATGGCAATTCTAGCACTGCGATTTGCACAGAGCAAGCTTGCAAGAAGGAATTGTTGACTTTGGGCAGGAGCAGTTCGACAGCCTTTGCTGTTTTCCCAACAGAGCATGCAAGGGATGAGGCCATTTCACGGGAGCTTGTCATTGTCCACAGTTTCTTTCTCCAAGTACGTCTTCGAACAGAAGGACCACTCCAAACTGACCTGGCCTAGTGGGCCTAGCGTTTCCTTCGTGCCATGCCAGGCCGTCCGCATCCTGGAAAACGGGATGGTCTTCAGAGACCGCACATTGCAAGTCTCTGCGGCCATACATGAGCCTCAGGGGGTAGCTTAGGCTGCACAAACTACTGAATTGAAAGGCTGTGGTCATTCATTGGTGTTGTGTGGCCGGCTTGCAGGTACACTGGAACAACATTGATGGAACTGGATTTGAATGCAAGCTTTGGAGGTGGGCTTAAGGAATCGGTTTGCTGGATCATCGGGCAGGCGCTGACAAGCCACAGTTTGCGCACTGCTGCAACAGCAGGCTCGTCAAAGGATTTGCTTGCATTATGCTGTGCCTTCTGGGCTGGATGGCTATTTTCTATACCCCTTATGTTGCTTGGTGTGAGCTGCATCGCCCACCGCACGTCATCGGGGATTGACCATGATTGACCCATTTCACCCTAGCTCTTGATCACAGTCGTGCTTCACATTTGGTGCCGTCATGAACATCATGAAGGTCTGAGCAGTCCACCTCTCAATTTCTCATTTTCACTGAGGCATGGTCGATACTGAACTTCAACTACGAAGGTGGCCGGCAACCAGGCATAGTGTCCAGGATGAACATACCATCTTGGATCATAAATGGCCGAAGTGCACGTTGCAGCAACTCTGCGACTGGCAAATCATGAATCTTTTCGCTCACGAATGCTTTGAACAAGTGCCTGCTTTGACGTAGCCGAGGTTTACACACTGGTTTTCTCTCTGATAGTTTGCGTGGGGAATCTCTTGATGGCTGAAATCTGCAGCAGAGTTGCTGATGCTATCAGTTTCGATGCTTGCTTGCAGTCACACTCCCTGGATCTCTCTGGCAAAACCGTAACGCCCAATCAATCCATTTCTCATTCTGCAAGTTTTCCGCGGACATTGCTTCCCTCTCAGTTTCTTCGCTGCACACTGCTGCCTAGGAGTTCAAAGACACTCGAGAGAATTGTTGCTGCCCCAGTGGATTTTCCATATCTGTTGTTGGAGCTCGTCCAGTAGTTTTCTTGGGCCAGAAGCTTTTCTCGGCTGCTAACCGCCATGAATCAAAGGTTACATGGTGCTGTATCTTGTGGCTATCGTCTCTTGTCGATGAATGATGAAGGTTTCAACATGAAAGTAAAATTGGACCAGTCGTTGCTGTTCAGGCTGTCAATGTTGCGTTGGATTTGTGGACAACATATTTCATGGCAACCCAGCATCATGGCTGCACAAAGTGCACTTTGCAAGCCATTGGCAAAGCAGGTGCGCAGGCACTTGCCTCTGTGAAGTCAATGAGAGGTTTTTGTTCGAGGATGTTCGAGGCATGCACACTTCTGCAATGCTTTTCTGATGATTCGAGGGCTTTGTCATGACCCCACGTGGACTGTCAGACAGGGAAGGACTTTTTTCTTTGAGCATTAGTCACCACGAGTCAACGCCCGCAAGACTAGCATGAACAAAAAAACACAATCAAACACGTCACAGTATCCAGCTGCGAAACTACTATGAGTTTGGCTGAGGCCTAAGCGCTAAAGCTTCATTCGCAAACTTTGGTGGACCAAAGCATGGGTTTCCAAAAAGCAATCTCTCAGTGTTGAAACTAAGCTTGGCAAGCCAGCGTAGCCATGGATTCTGTCGCTGATGCCGCTGGCGCAGTGGTTCGGCACTCCACAATGGTCATTGGAGCTGCAGCAGGTGAAATCGCTCGGCAGGCAGGGTTTCAACGGTTTTGGCATGTTTTGGCCAAGCGGTTGAAATCGACCATAGATAATGAACACTCTCTGGAACTCTCTGAAACATGCCGCACCGCCATCCCATTGCCCAAACACAGACTGTCAAGCAATAGCTTCTCAGCTAGGCAACCAACTGAGAGACATGAAGAGACTAAGGCGAATGCTGTGGCACAGATCACCAGTGAGTCAGATCCCATCGCCTGGATCACAGGCCGCTGGACTTGAACAATTGACCTTCTCACTGAAACTGTGTGCCTTTGAACCAGCACTGCATCAAGGAATTAGGGCCTCTCAGGGTCTCTTAGGGCTTAGGGCTCTTTTTTCCTTTCTAGGAGGCTCAAGAGCAAGCACCGCAAGGGGCATGTTTCGCGCCTGTTTTCCCGACAAGGTGATGATGACGATGTCATACCAGACTTTGTACCGCTCCCGCCGCCCATCCCGGTTCCACTGGCAGCGCTTACACCTTGGGGAGCTTGGGGAAGCAGTAGTAGCTCCTCTTGCCGCACCTTGACCGAACATAGCGCCCATGAGCAGTTGAGGAAAGTGTCCGTTAACCACCAGCATCCTCATGGGGTTGTCTCAGGCCCATTTTCAGTGGACCCGGATGTCAATACAAAGCTCGTTCTTTGGCAAGGTGACCTTTGTAGCCTTGAGGCGTGGGGATTTGAGAGCAGACCAAATCAACAAAGATACTGGCGAATAGATTTCAAGTGTCACTGCGGGGAGCTCTCCTCAATCAGTTTTTGAATTTTCTCGTAGGTTGATGCATTGCTGACACCGGTGGCGGCTGGATATGTTCCTGGCTGCAGTACTGTTTTCTCACGTGTGCTTCAACATGGCGGTCAGGACTGGCACTGCACGGAAGAAATGTATGCCCGCAACAGGGACCACCCCCCAACGGCAAGCTTTCGAGATGGGACAACAATATCCCGTGGTCAAATTGGGTTTTGCATCGCCATGCCCACCATTCTATTTCATGTTGTCATGTTGTGTGTCACCAAACGCCCAAGCCGCGTTCCACAGAGCAACGCGGCCAATCCTGGGGCCATGTGAGGATCTTGTGGAGGAGCTGAGGCATCTGGATGCTTGCCGCAGTGGTGAGGCGCGCAGCTGCAAGGCATATGGGCTTCCGTGCCAGCGATTGCTCCTGACGGTCGGCCCCAAATACAAGGAGAGTGAAATGAATGAACTTAGCATCATGAAGCCGTTTGAAGGTTTGTTCAAGTTCTCGAAGCAGACATGATGTGGATGTGGGTCGAACATACCCAGGTAGACTTCTCCATTCTGTCCCATTCATTTGCAGGGTTGTGGCACTTCAACACGCCACGCTACCCTGCACAGTGAAGGGCATGGTGGCGGTTGGATCATGTCGGATCCGTCGCACAGGCGGTGTCCAGATGCCCATCAGGGGTCATAGGGGTCGCCACGCGTTATCTTGATCCTTAAGGCCCTTAAACCGAAAACAACCCTTGAGGAGAAGTATCAAGTAGCCGCTCAGAACACCTTGAATTCCTGCTATCGTGAGTGTATGCAGTTGCTCGCGGAGTCGGAGCTCAAGACCGTGGCCATCCCTTGCTACTGGTACAGCAAAGGCTTTCCTATCGAAGAGCAGGTGCATGTTGCACTGCGCAGCATAAGAAGATGCCTAGAAAAGCTGCAGGCGTCAGTTGACGGAGTGGTACTAGTTGCAGGCAATGCAGCTGAGTTTGAGCTGTTCGAAAGCCTGCTCCCACTGTACTTCCCCAGAACCGATCTCGAAGCAATCCATGCTTCCTCTGTACTTCCAGAAAGTTGCTGGAGTGAGTGGGGTGAGGTCAGTATGGAAGAGCGGCGCATTCGTGTGTCTAATCATCTTATATCTGAGCAAAGTCTTGAGGATGGCGAGGACGATGCTGATCCTTTGTTTGGTGGTGAGGATGATAAGTCCTTCCTGCACGCACGTGATGATGCAGACTCTGCTGCAATGAGGCGTTTGGAGGGTTCCATGATCAATGCAACCACGACTGAGGAGGCGAGACACATTTGCATTCGATATTTGAGACGCGCTCGAGAGATTCCAAGCCTCAATGAGCCTCTGCGCTTTGTGTATCAAGGTGGCGAAGACTGCTTTGGTCGTCGTGTGGTGGTGCTGCTTGGAGCTCGTTTGCCGCCTTTGGGCCTTCAAGATGAGAGGACTATCGCTTTGTTTGTTAAGGAACTGGAGGCGTTGCAGAATAACAATTTTCTTCTTCTCTATGTGAACAGCGAGGTGGACAGCATGGACACCTCTGTACTCGAGGTCCTGCAGGAAATGCTAGCAGTCATACAGGCGAAATATCGAAGCTCTTTGGCACAACTCCTTGTGCTCCACCCAGGGCTGTGGTTTCGAGCAGCTTTTGCCCTTGGCAGGGCAATAACTGATGAAGCTGCCAGCGTTTGGCATGACAGTGTGTACTTGGAATCCATTTCGGAGTTGGTCTCTGTTCTCAATGCAAGCCGACTGTACCTACCGGATTTTGTGCGCTACAGCGAGCAGCAGTGAGAAGATACTGCCATGAGTGCAGCTACAATAGCGTTTCACTTTTGGCCTTTCGGTTGTAATGTGCCGAAATGGCAAAGTGCTTTTGGACGACAAATGCATTTGTCTCTTGCATTGTATGGTAGTTGTTTCAGGCTCTGTGATCTTGGAAACTAGTCGCTGCGCCATGTGTCTCAATTCAATTGGATTCCATTTGAGCGCTGCAAGCCAAGGATCATGGTTGGAATGGATTTTCGGACAGCCCAGAGCCCAGAACCCAATGGTGAGCGGTGACAGTGAGAGATACATTCCGGAGCCGTTGGCAGTTGACAGGAAGATGGTACTTTGCTTGCGGATGTTGACAGCTTCATGGAGAAGTTCAATAGCTATGCCTTGCAGCGTTCGATGGGACAGCAGCTGATTGAATATGCGCGCCGTGGCTGTCACAGTCTCGTTTGGCCCACCACTTGCGTCTCTTCCTCTGCTGGTGCTCCAATGATACAGGGAAACTTTCCCCTGCTCGGCTCTAGCAAAGCAAAGTCGACAATTGAGAGATGCCCCAGCAAGGACCTGTGTCAAACTACTTTATCCAGTCCTGCTTGTCCTGCTTGTAAGGTTTCCCTCCACTTTCATCCTGCCATTCTTGGCAGAGCCCTGCGCAGTGATTTTCCTGTTTTCTCGCCTCTTCATGCGACTCACTTGCAATTATGCCTGCAGCATGGAAGCGGCTTCGGCACCCTACACTCTCTTGAGCAGAGAACATCATTGTATACTCGCGTCAGAACTGTGGAGAACCAACCTGCGAACACCAGCACTTGGGATTTGAGCCAAGAGTCTGGAGGGGAATATATGGGTGCTGGGGTTGGCAGCATTTTGGCGGCACACCATTGTGCAAGCCAACTGTTAAGTTATATTTGTACTCACTGCGAGGCTTTTCATTGGCTCTCACCCAGAGCTGAGAGTTTGGGAGTGCCGTAGCTGGTTGGCTGCGATCGAGCTGGAGCTAGGACGCTATGCAGTAGCTTGGCCTTTAGTTTTGCAAATGCCCGCCTTCCAGGAACCTTGAGTAAGTTTGGGCAACAGTTGGGTTTGAAGTGATATGCAGACCCTGTGAGCAAGCTGGAAGACCAGACCTTACAGAGACCTTAGGACTGCTTGGTGAATGTCTACCTGGCTACAATGGTGTCCAAGGCTTAGCCGCTAAGCCTCAGGTGAAGCCATGAAGCCAGCTTTGCGGCCATCACGACTGACGCGTGACCGGTGGCGCCAAGGTTCTTTTTTTCCTGGTGGCTACACTCACTGGATTTTTTTGTACCTTGCCCTGTCGCATATTTACATCTATGTCAGAGCCTTATATCGAGTCTCACATGAGGGCGTTGGTTCCCGCGAAGCCACACATGAGGCCTATGATCACTACAGAGTGCTTCGAGTCGTCCCCAGTGCCACGTTCAGCTCAATGACAGTGGACCTGTGTGCGCAGGAATCGGGTTTCATTCTGCTGTTGGGGAGTCGAGCAGAAATTAAAGGGGAGCGTTTGTGATTCTCTTGGCTTACCTTGACTTGGATTTCGTCCTGTGGAGGCACTCCTTGCACCAGCTTGTGGAATATTGTGCTTTGCCTGCCAGAAGCCTGCAGCATGTTTGGACTGTTTGGATGCGTGGTGGAAGACTTCCAAAATAGTATAAGTAATATATCAACTTCGCCACCGCCACCATCATCATCAGCCCACGCTCGATTTAAGGTTGGCCGCCTTTATTTTCAAAGCCAACTGCTTGAAGGAATCATACTGCCACTTGCCTGCCCTCAACTAAGAACTAATAGTCTGTGACTAAGCACCTCTCGCGCTTACACAGAGTCTTGTGCCAGTATGATGCGCCAGTCTTGTGCAGATCTCCATCTCAGGCTTAGAGGAGCGTGACCTGCTAAGCCTTTGTTTGGTTGTGTTTCTTATGCATTGCGTGGCCTGGCCTAAACTTCCTATACTGTAACTGTAGCTATGCAGCTTGCACTGCACTAGATGCACAAAGTAGAGAGGCATGTGGCAGCTGAGGCAATTCACATTCTGCTGCTTTTCCTTTTTGTGCCACTCTTCGGGATCAGAGAGAAAGGATACAGAACAGATGCGAAGACTCTTGGTCACACAATTGGGGCGGGTATGGTGTGATGAACCTCCCTCTGCAGGATATTGAGATGAGAGCAGTAAATTCACATTTAAAGGCAGACTGTGGACATTGCCACACAATCCGAGACCCCTTTTCAGCGCAATAAGCTGTTGGACTGACTGTAGGTGGGTTGTGTTGCATGTGCCAGTGTTGCTGATGACTGGTTGCTTAGGACTTTCAGCGAAGTGGCTTCTTCGGAGCCATGTAGCTGGTCCCTGGCCTGCAGATTCTTGATTTGGACAGTCGTATAATGACGTAATGTTTACTGATATGCTGTGTCGAGCCATTGCCGAATCCCAGCAGGTTTATTCTGTTGGGCAATGAACTTGTGAGAACCCTTTCTTTCCAGCACCCAACGGTCTTGGGAACTGCATGTGTGTATATATATATATATATTCGCCAAGGGCGCTCAAGCATGTCACCGATTAAAGACATTTCTACTCACAAGTTCGTTATGCAAGAGTGTACTGATTGCACAGTATATATAATATAAGTTTGTGTCAAGGGTTGTTGATGAAGTTTCATTTTCTCATCTCCAGTTAGCATACTTGGGTGTCATGAATCATGCTGGTCAAGGTTTTCGGCCAACCCGATCCATTGTCTCAGATCGAAGTATGCCCAGCCCTGAGCCCCTCCGTGTGGCCAAGATTGGAGAGTGCTTGTGTACCATGGTTTCACCGTGTGCCCATCCATCAACTGCATACTAGCTGCAGGTGTTCAATCACTCCCCACCTTGTACCTATTATATCCCTGGCTTGGAGAACAAACTAGAGGCTGGATTGCCTCAATTTTGAGAGCCGACTTGCGCAAGTCTAGCCGAAACTTCAGTGTGGCACGCAGGTCAATGAAAGCATTGGCTGCTTCTTCAAAGTGAAGAAGGATGTTGTAGAAGATGTGTCTTGGATGGCCTCCGTGCTTGCAGTTTGCAATCCTGAGTTCACCTCTTTTCTTTCCTTCATGCCGTCACTTCGTGCAAATCCCATGAGGCTCACAGCTACTATTTGCCCAAATGGGATGACGTAAGCACGTTCCTGAAGTCCCTTGCTCACTTTCTGGATGCCTTCTCAAACATTGACAATGAGAAGCTGCCACGGCGCAGTTCAGCGCAAGTTGTGCTTGGAGTCAGCAGGTCGAGCTCGTTTCTCTTCACTGAACCCCGTGAGGAAGACACGGTGGGAGACACAGGCGAGAACATTCCCCAGACGCCCTAGATCCCGCTTTTTCGAGACCTTCCCTCAGGAGCTACGGGTGCAGGATCTGGCTGACCTGCCTGACCTCACAGAACCAGAAAGAAAAGAAGGATTTATTCGAGCCAAGGGTGGGTGAGTCATCAAAGATTTGCAGCTTTGGACTTGGACCGTTTTGACTTGGTATTGGTCCAGCGTGCAGCATGCGGTTGTTGCATTCATGACTGTATGAACCGCCCGCACTGCCTTCCCCCAATGGCTCAGACGCTTTGAGTCCTCGACCCGCTTCAGGGTGTATCATGCCGCAAAACTGCAGGGTGGATATGAGGATGGCAGAGCTACTTGGTGAACACGTCATAAATTCCGTAGAGTCTGCATTGCGTTTGCAGCACACTTGTTGGAGGCAGAGATTTGTTCGAAGGTTTAGTTCTCTCCATGCCTGATCTGACATGGCAACTCTTTTGTGAATAACCTCTTAACCACCCTTAGCCTCAAGTCGTGTGGCTACCTGTAGCCAGAGTTGCAATAATGGCTCGCCGACCGAATGAATTGATTGCTTTGAGGTTTGATTTGCCATGCACCCGGCCCATGAATCAAATCCGTGGCTTCGAGGCAGAGACAAAGGACCAGTGGGATCAGAATGGATCTGATAAAACTGATACAGTATAGGGCTCCGTGCTCCTAGTAGCAAGAATGATCAAGAATGCTCCTAGTAGTACGGCCAGGAGCCCCTAGTAGCTTCTTGTTCCTGGTAGTAAGGCCAGGAGCCCCTAGTAGCGTCTTTGCTCCTAGTTCGTACAAGGCTGTGACGTGATGCGAAGAAGCTTCCTGCAGGAGACGCAGAGGACACATCGCACCCGCGAGACTCTGCGACAGCTGGGTGCGAAGAAGGACCTTCTGAACTTGGACTCCTACCTTTTGGACAGGCAGCCGCTTGTGACAGATGTAATTCAACAATTTCAAACGTTGTAAGGACAATGCAATCACTGATGTGTCAGAGCGTTTCATTGAGGCCAGATACGGTCAATATGCCAATCCAGTTTGACCAGGCGAAAGGGGACACGGTCGGAGCACGAGATCAGAAAAGAGTGCTAGCCTATAGCATGCTATATGCATGCTATAGCTGCAATTGTTTGATTCACTTGTCAGGGCTCCCTGCTACACATCGCTGCCATGAGGGGACACCAGGACATGGTTCAGATGCTAGTGCACCAGCGAGGGGCCGACATTGAACCTGAGTTGCATGTATGCCTGTGCCTAACATCGCCCTGGTCAACAGGGTTGTGGGACGCCGGGCTGGCCGAGGATCGAGGCAACTATGCGCAGCAAACATCCTTACATACAGCCTGTGAGGGGAACTATGCAAACATTGCGGTTGATTTGCTTGCAGCAGGCGAGTGGTCACGTGGTCACGTATAGTTTCTGTTTGCGTTTGTATTCTTTGCATTGCGCTTGGCGTTGCGCACGGAATAGCGCTGCCCTTCTGAGGTTTGAGCCAACAAAATTTCCAAACTCTGACTAGACTTTGTAAGAACATGTTTAAAATCAGCCAGGTGCAGATGCGGACAAGCGAGACAGTCTGAAGCAAACTCCATTGCATCGAGCTGCACACAGCGGAGCTGTTGACTGCATCCTGGCACTTCTGGAGCCCGGAGACACATCAAACAGATCGCATGGAGAGATTATTCAAACAGATCAGTTCACTGTTTTCCCCTCGTAGCGTCCTTGCTCCTAGTAGCGATGCCCTTTGCTCCTAGTAGCTTTTTGTTCCTAGTAGTAAGGCCAAGAGCCCCTAGTAGCATCCTTGCTCCTAGTAGCGTTGGGTGGGGCAAGTGGCTCACCACTGCGCTGAGATAATTTGGCACGAGCATGCAATAGCAACAATGCATAATGCCATGATGCGCCTTCGCATATTTGCAACGCGTTCCGTCAGTCTATTATCATTCACCACTTTGATTTGTCTATATATATATATATACACTTCTATGGGTTTTGGTCTTCATGCTTTGCCCAAACCTGTCCATTTTACTGCATGTGCAATCATACTACATGCCAGTTGAAAAATCTCAACCCGCTTGGATATGTACAGTACAGGCTTGCGCTGCCCTTTGAGTTGCAGGAGTACGGTGCCAACGCCAAGCTTCGAGACGAGGGTAACCTGATGCCAATTCACACTGCAACTTGGTTTGGTTGATGTCATCCTCCTTACTCATTTTTGCAAACCCAGCGTGTATCACAGGCAGTTCTGCAGTCCTTGACTTTTTGGGCAAGACGTAACTGTCAATCAACTTCAAGAAGCTGCCCATTGAGTGGGGTGCTGGCAGTGTGTGGATTTTCCGGCCGTGGCCGTTTGTACAAGGCTGCTTTGCGTGGGCGGGATGAAGCACTCCGATTGCTCATCTCCCAGGAGTTGAGAGTTGAGCAGAGGGTGGTACGCATGAGCTGTTATATATATATATTATATATTCCTTGTTTTGGGTGGGTGAAAGGCAAGACAGGAACATAAGGGTCCCTTTATTGAAGGGGATCTTGATCTTACCTTCCTTTTTCTACTTTTATGTTTCTCTGTTGAAGCCCCTCCTTCGAGGAAGGTAGAGGCATTAGTCCGTTAGATTCACCCTCCCATGGGTCCCAGCCCTTGCAGGACCCAAGCTCTGCCAATGTCGAGGCAGAGGGCTGGACACCTTTGCCACTTCCGCTGAAGACTACCGTGACCGCACCATCGAAAGTCTTACCTGATGTGATGTTACATTTGCTTGTGGCTGATTTTGTGAATATAGCAGAGCCGAGGCATTTTTCCGGCCATGCTGGGTTCCCAGCTGCTTTGGAGGCCCTGCTTGAGTGTGGTGCCTACCTGCATGCCGTGGACAAGGCCTTGTGTGACCTGGTGACCGAATTCCCTATCCGTCGTGGGCTACCGTAGTCTTGATCGGGTGCTTCTATTAATTCGGTTTGCTTCTATGTTTGTTCTTATTACAGTTGTACTGCAGTCACTCAAGTCAACCGTTTGTATAGGATGTTTAAGCTGTTTGACAGGAGCGCATGACGGCACTTCACAGAGCTGCCACTTCGGGCAGCGAAGCAGCATGTCAGGTGCTATTGAGAGCAGGTGCGGAATGATCCTTTTTTCGGAGAGTCCCGGGCAAAGCTTTCCTTTTGCCAAGTGATTTGCACATGGACTGTTTGGACGCCGCAGGTGCAGACTTGGAAGCAACAGATAGCCTCAGAAGGTTACCCATCCACCTTGCTTGTGAGGCGGGAGGGAGCCAAACTCACGCTGTCACACCCGACGACAATTTTACAAGTGGAACCCATTGAAGCATAACTTCAGAGAATTGCCTTGCACCGAAGAGCCAAATGTAGCCTGTGTACAGTATCAGCATCAGTAGCTGCACATAACCACCCTTACAGGAGGAATGCTGTCACGTGGTACGCTTGCTGCTGGACGCTGGAAGCCCTGTCGATGTCCTGGATGCTCAGCGCAGGAGTGTGTGATGAAGTGGTTCTTGTGTGTATGAAGGGTGATGCAGGAGGAATGAGCGGAAATTTGTGTTCCTAAGAGGGCTGATGAGATACATGTTTCATCATGTTTCAATACTGTAAAGTCCACGCCCCAAACCAGGAAGAAAGCAAGAAAGAAAAGATAAGAAGGAGAGAGACACTACACAACAACCAAAAATAGAAACTGCCTTTTTACGTTCTTATTTTCGTAGTGTGGATGGTGGTTGTTTGTCGAAGACCTTTTTTTGCAAATAATTCCTTCTTCGTCACATCATACCAAATAATTCGCAGAAGCCGTCATTGAGGTGGAAATCCAAAACATCGAACACCTGTTGACTTCTTATGACTTATTATATATAGCAATATTGTACTGGGGGGCAGGCTGTGATGAAGGCCAGAGGCTGCAAGTACTGAGTTAGTTTACAAGGAGCTAACAAGTAGCTAAAGCCAACAAATGCTCGTTACATGCAGGGACGCAGGAAAAAGTCAGCCCAGGCTTTTTCAAGGAAGCTCTCTTTCGCAGGGACCTTCCTTGAACCCTTCGCTGATTGATTTGGTTCCTAGAGTTTGGTAAAGTTAACTTCGATGATGGAAGGACTCCGCTACTCATTGCCACTCGATCTGGGAACATTGAGCTGTGCGAGGTGGGGAGCAGACATGACATCAACTTTTAGTGCGACAAAGCCGGGCATTCAAAGGCTATCATTGATAATTTTGTTCATTGACGCAGCATGCAACTCCCGCAGACACAGTCAATTCTCAGGGGAGCGGTGGAGAATTCAGTGGAGAATGTTCAAGTTTTCAATCTTCAGTCTCAAGCACCAGGCTCTCTTGACTTGGGGTGCGGACCCAAACTTCGGCGACACTTCTCGTGGCATCCCAAGTGCCGTGGCACTTGCCCGGCGAGGCACACAACTTAGCTCTGGATGTACTGTCGACTCTATATAGTTACTCTAGTTCATTTGTACCACTACGTATCACTAAGTTGTGCTCTGGGATCGTGGTGCAGACCTAAGCGACCTTAGGCAATGATCCTGCTCTACGCAATCTAATGGAGGCAACCGCCTCAAGCCTTCCTTTGAGCCCTTGAGTGCCAGATAGCCAAAATGCTCAAGTCCCCACCCGAGGAGTATTCTCGTGCCGCAGCAGCAGCTGCCGTAGTGCCTATGGTTCTTAGTGAAGATCGGCAGGCAGACATATGTGGCACGGTTGATGTCAATTCATTTTGCTGACGGCATTGAAATTTGATAGCTGCAGGCAGGGGACCGCCCAGCTGAATCTTGAGAAGCTTCATTAGGCCACTGTTCGAAGGAGTTAGGAACAACATTCCTTTGCAGAGGAATGAGTGGATCAGCAAGTAGAATTTTATGTTCAATGAGACACCTGCCTCACATGCTTCCATATCTTCCATCTATAAGAGGAAGTGCTGCCAGGAATCCAATGTGATCCAATGTAGGCCGAGGACTCTCCCATCCTGAAAGGGAAAGGATGAGTTCCTGATATTCATCCAGTTTTTGCAGAACTGTCAAACTGCCCGAATACCGGGCGTTGCTGTGGGATGAGATCTCCCCGTGGTTGCGGAATGTTGCAGCCGCAGCACTTCTTTCACCAAATCCGGAGGAACCAGCATCAATGAAGCTTCACCAAAGCATGTCTAGGTGAACCTTCACCAAAGCTTTTCTTCACCAAGGCATCCTTGCTAGATTCGATCCTTTCTGATATTAAATTTTGAGTAAGATTTGCCCACAGCGATCAAGACACCTTGGAGCTGCGGGAAAAGCAGCGTGACACGCTTCAGAACTAGATGCAACTGAGAGTGCATTTTGCCTGGTGTGCTTGCCTGCTTCGCACCCTTGGTGTTGTCTCTCGTGTGTCCTTGGGCCAGGTCTTGCACTACGACGTTTTGCCTTATATATATAATCATTATATAGCCCCGAAGTGCCTGCAACCGGAGAAAAGCGCTCTGAACTTTGGGTTTGGAACTTTGGGTTTGCATGATGCCTCGAAGGACAGTTGCAGTATTCCAAGGTATCCCAAGTATACCAGATTGAGTCTTCTTGGCAATGGATCTCCCATGCCTTGCCGCAGCCATTTCCAGCTTTCACCACCAACCTAGCTGTCGGGCCGATCGGAGTGTAAGAAGCTGAAATGAAGCGCCTGACGTGTTGTAAGCTGTTGAATTCAATTTATCAAATGCAACCACAAGCACAAAGGAGATACTTTGCAAGGTCCCCAAGCTCCCTGACAACAGAGATGGAAGAGTCACTGCCTGAGACAAATGTAAGCGTTCACTAATGCACGTCAATGCCGTCGATGCCATCCAAACTTGATCTGCAGGTGGAAGCTCGACAGGAAGAACATTTCTGCAGGAAGCTTCAAATGGCATGCGGATGAGTGTGTCCCCAAGATCTCAAATGACAAAGACGTTTTGGTGTCAGGTCTTGGACCCAAGTCCATATACACTACTCCCTAAGAACAAGAGACGAACAGAGAGGACAACAGGAAGGTAAGGATCCCTTTTCTAATTGCGCTTGCAATATTTTTTTGTCATCTCTTTTCCTGCTTTGTTTGAACATGATTGATCAATGTGCTTAAAGCCTGTAGCTTCCTAGCGGGCCCTTGCAGGTACTACGCCCGAAGTTCCAACAAGCTTGGTTCTCACTAGAGAGTGAAGCGATGAGCGTGTTGAAGTGATGCATTGAACTGAAGTGTCAAGTGTGCTTCTATCCCTCAGGCCCAAGCACATGTACTCCCCGGACTGGTTGGAGTTCGAGATGAAGAAACACAATGAGAAAGCACGTGTGCAGCTAAGTTGCTTTGAAAGAGTTGCCGTGCATGGAGACTTGTCCCCAACAATATGCAAATCACGCCTGCTTGCTTGGTATTCTTTAGGCGGTGGAGCCACAACTTTGAACATCAACCCTTTGGAAGGCTTGGTGGTATCACATGACAGTGAAGCACTGAAGTTTGCCAGCAGCTGTGTACCGAAGAAACCGCATCGAGGTCCTCCGTCGCCAAAGCCGCAGTATGGCTTTTTTGAGGGGGGAGAAGCTACCAGATGGCACAGTGCATCCCAAGCTCCAAGCTCAGCGCAAAACGGATGCAATGCTCGTAAAACTCGACAAGAGAAACCATGTTCGTTGGACAGGTCACCTACAGCAATGGAGCTTGGGTGGAGCACCTTGTTTCCTGCATGCATTGGACTTTGAACAGGAAGCTCACACACCAAGATTCATGCATGATGATGCCACGATGTGGAGTCCCCCTCAAGGATGTTTGAGGGACCTTGTGTGGTGGCTTCCTATGTGTAAAACGCATAGACACAAAGGCAAGTCACGCAGGGCCATGCCTAGGATGCAAACCTACCTTTGCATTTTTACAGGTCTGGCACACAGCCACTGGCAAACACCCTGAACAAGCGAAGGTTGGAGCGCATATGGAGTCCAGCTTTAGATTGATCGCATTGTGCATGATGCTAACGCAAAGCCACAGGCCCAATACCACAGTTGGCACAATGGGACGCTCCTTCGACTTCCAGGACTAGTATATATATATAAGATTTTGTAAGTCTTAGGATCCAAATAATAAGTTTGAATGTCCAGAGACTTTCAATTGCAGATCTTTGCTGTTTGTTTTATCCGGTTTTATCGATTTGCTGTTGAAAATTTTAGCAAGCGGTGCTCCAGGACCTTGGCTCGCCAGGCTCCAGTCCCAAGGCTGGTCATGCATTGTGATATGTAAAAACCTTGCTCCTGAAACGGCAAGCAAGCAGCTCAAGCAGTCGCAAAAAACATGAGGGAATGAAGTCGATGGGTATGTCTGGCCGGGCCCTCATGAGTTTCAAGAGCAGAAGCACTTGTTTTTTAACATTCAGAGTTATTCGAGTTGGCAGCCAAGGGAGCGTATTAGCAACTATGTTTGATGTAGTCATTATATAGTCTTATCCATGCATGAGCTTGGATGCAGAATGATGTATACATAAAGTGTGGCTCTATACACTAGTCTAGTCACCAGTACTAGTGCACACTAGTCAGAGCCCGCCAACGACCTTTACTGAGGTGACCGGATGCCTCGCAATCTTAGCCTGCCTGAGCTTGGTCGTGGCTCCGTGTTTTCACCAACCACAAGCCCAAAGGCGCGGAGATTTTGTCGTGAACTGTTACTATTTGTGGACACGCTTGCTTAGGAGTAGTGAATCCATTTTAGCGAACTCCTTTTCTATGTGCCAGGGAGGGGCCGTCAAGCTATCAGTGCCATCGCCTAAATCTCCCTTCAGCATCGCCCTCAGTTGGCACTGTGGAAGAAGCTACAATCGGGCTAGGCATGGCTAGTCTATTTCCGGCATTTTCTCCAAGGCCACTGAAGTGTTTTGTGCCTTTGAGCTCTTGAGGCCGTCGTGGCGAAGATATGATGTCAAGCCACACTCGTGCCATCTCACAACCGCTTCATGATCCAACCTCAGATAGTAGAAGACATAGCGGCCTCAGACTGACTGATTGCTGCATCCGAGGAATCTGCATATGCTCAGCCCTCCAACAGGAAGGTGAGAACTTGCCAAGGGAATCTCAGGGAGGATTAGAATTTACACGTTTGTGGGCCGTGGGCTATTTAGCTGGACACGGGGATTCGATGTTTATATCGTGGACTTTTATTGATCAACTACTACCAACTGATCACAGACTCCAGGCACTTCGTGGATAAGGGGCAACAGCCGCCGCCTACCAAGTGTGTTTCTCTTGGTGCTTGGCAAGAAAGTACTCGTGGAGAATGAACTGCTTGGACAGTGACACTCTGATTCTGCCGCCATTTGGTTCAGTCAGCTGCATCTCACCTAGCCAGCTCAGCAGCTGCAGCCAGCACCGTCCGGAGCTTGGCAGTGTTTTGCTCGTGAGGTGGGCATGTGAACAACTGTGAACACGTGCCGGTATATACGGTATATACATGACTTGTGCCGTTGGGGTGATAGTCCATTTTCCCTAGCCATGGTTAGCACCCAGCTGGTTCTGTTGTGGATGGAAGGTGTTTGGGCCAGAGGACGCAGAAGAATTGAAGCGGGCGGCACGACAGAGGGGCAAAGCGATCCAAGAAACACACTGCAGGGACCAGAGGAGCTGGCAGAGGGCAATTGAGACAGGTACAAGGTTCATTTTCACAAGCAGTCACTCACTCATCAGAATCATGAGATCATCAATATTCGGACGGTCATCCACAACTGACGTGTGGGCTTGTGGCACAACGCTGCTGAGACACGTTGTATAATGTTCGCAGGGTCAGAGAGACTTCTGCAACTAACCCGCTGAGCTGCCGTGGTTGCTTAGTGATTGTCACTTTAAGCCACTTGTATCATCTTGAATGTCACCACCGACGATTACTGTATACATTAATTGAATGTCCAAAACTCCAAGACAACGATGGAGGACAACTGCAGCATGGAAGAGTGGATGTGGGGGGAATGTATGCTGATTGATCGGACGAGGTTTTGTTGTGCTACACTCAGTTGTGGTCGTGGAAGTTGGTGCGTTTTGACATGTTTGCGACACATCTTGCATCCGTTTGCACAGTTTTGTTTTGGGTTTGGGGAAGTCACACCAATGTTGTGTCCAGATTGAACTTTCGGAGCTGAACAGGAACTGTATAGTGGTGCTCGCGCGCGCTCTCTCTCTCTACAATCGGTTGTGTTTGTGTTAACTTGGTGTTTCAGTTTTCCTTTGTTGACTTGTTGATACCTTCTGAGCGGGTCCACTGGCACGAAGGAGTAGGACTAGGAAGGACATGGAATGACAATGGCAGTGTAGACTGTATAGAATAACAATTTATGCTTCGAGGGACAGATCTCTTTAAGCAAGAGGCACTTACTCGAATTACGTAATTCCGTTGTGATTCGCTTTGTCCGTTCCCGTTCCCTAGTGTCGCGGGTTAAAGGGCGCTTTATGGAACATTGATGTTTAACTTTGGACGGTCTGGTGTACATATGCTTCCTTGTTGCACCTCGGTGTCTCTGGAAACTCAAAATAGATAAGTCGTGTAATGTCGTGTATGCGAATGCTAAGGTTGAGATGGCTGAAGTTCAACTGCCTGAGAGCTTGAAGGTTGGCGATGCTGTATCGCTGTGGACCCGCCAAATTCCACACAGACAAATGAATGGCATGCAGTTGTGAATACCGAACTGATCCACTGGATTAGCATCACAGAATGCAGTGAGTTCGAGATGCAGTGTGCACCAAGGATGCTAAAGGGTTGTGAAATCCTAAAGTCCTTTTCTGGGGGCCTTCGCGCAAAGAGCCCAACATGTTCTGCGGGATGCCGAGACATTGAACTCCAGTCAGTTCTCAACAGCTTCCAAGACTTACCTTTGGAGGTTGATGACAATTTCGGAGCCGACACTTGCTAGCATTTTGATGCATTTTGTCGAGGCAGGTGTTGCATTGCACACACGCTCAGTATGTGTGTATTATATTGTATTATATGTGTATACCGATATCATCACATGGCCACCTCTTTAGCATCCCCCTTGTTTTCAAAATGCATTGTATGTACAGTGCTGTGCAGTGTATTTTGTCATGTTGTTATGCGTGTAAACTATTCATTCATTTTAGACAGAAGTATGACTGAGACTACCTTTGACAGGTTTTATGCGCGGGAGAGATCAAATAAGAAAGTATAAATTAGCAAGAAAGATCCTCCTAGCAATTTTCCCTAAAGAATCAGACAGCTCGGGTGTTCCAGAAACAGGCTCTTCTTTAGTAGATTAAGCTGGTTGATGAGGTTCACTTGCCGTTTTTTTAAGGTGGGGGTGGAGTGTGATTCTTTAGAGGTACACTTTTTGCAATTGGAGATTGTTGGATGTTGTTGGATGTGAAGCAAAACTATTCAGCATCAAGTTTGAACATGTTTGAACCCATTTTGTGTTTGAGCATTTGAGCATCTGTGTGATGTGGGTGTTCCCATTCTTTAGGGGAGTCCAGGTTTCCAAGGAGGTATATGCACAGTTCTCAACGTGTTCTGACTTTTTAAGTCCAGTGCCCAGTATGTGCTGCAGATTGCTGGTTCTTGAAGCTACCATGTTGGTATGGGCCATCTGGATTCAGGATCCTTTAAGGTGGCATCTGGCAGTGGCACCGGTGGATTCCTAAAGAATCAGACAGCCCTGGGCAGTGGCCGAATTCCAATGGGGATCAAGAACGTAATTCTAACTAACTAAGCCCACCTTATTTGGACGCCATGAATCGCCATGAACATGTTTTTGAAGCTCACTCACTCATTCACTCCGCTCCCTTACTCGACTCTACCACTCTGACTCCACTCCTCTTCGGCACTATATACACTCTCTCCTCAGCCTTCATCACGCAACCAGTCATCACATGTCATCACCCCATTTTCATCACGCATAGCCTTGTGAACTTCCGCTCACCGGCTCGTATGTCAGATGAAGGGAACATCATGGAACCTCAAGCCACAACCCGGTATTGAAAGTCAGAGAAAATGCAGTCGGGGGGTAGTGTGCAAGGTGGCTTTGGACCCTCATGACGGTAAGCCTTGTGGCTCCAACTGATGATCATATCGTGTCAAATCGATAGCCCTATATCTCTAAGAGCACCGATCGAATTGAGGACCCCATCCCATCGTCTACCTTCATTTCTTCCGTCTGCCATTGTTCGCAATGTAACATAGAAGACCTCACCAAGACGTAACTGTGAACGCGTTGTGCATATGGCGAAGCAATCCATGTTTGCATTCCATACGTGTTGATTTTGTAATATTTTGATACGATTTGCCGTTAATCAAGCCCCGTCAATGCCATGTACAATTCTAATCCCGTAGTGGATGTCCATCAATCTTCCTGGCCAAAAGGATGGTATTGGTGGGGGGGGGTGCCAACATTTTATTTTGCATGTGGTTGGCACAGGTCTAGCGAGTAGCTTGCGGCGTTGCTGTTTGAACGCCAAACTTGACATGCGTGCCAAGGAAATCCGGCGTTTGAGCAAGGACTCAATAATTTTGTAGCTGTGACGGCTTTGCCACATTCCTTTGTGGTTTTGAAAGCGGCTGGAATGCAGGAGTGGCGCACCAAGAGGGAAAGCTACCGCACGAACATGCCGTTGACGGATCCAGAAGAACAGCTGTGCCGCTGCTGCAAATGGCTGCATAGAATAGACGTCTACGTTAAGAAACACAGTGGAACGCGCAGGCGTTTCAGGACATGTTAGGGGGCAAAATTCCAAGAACAATCTCCCCTCCTAATTCTGCCTTCTGAGGGTTTCCGCAGCTACAAGCGGAGATCTGAAGCGATGTCGAGCGTTGTTGAACCGGAAAGCTGCAGCTCCCGATGCGACTTCTGCCTCTCGGCGGCACCTTCCTGGTGGTGCCATTTGTCGCGTTTCCATGTAGGTTTTCTGAACTTGTTTTTGGAACTGTGCATATATGTTTCCGAGCCACGTAATGCATCGGCATAGCATCGTTGATTCATTCCCTTGTCATAGTCTCACGTAATTACAAGTTTTGTCATAAAGTTGTTGCTAAGACTGCAAGGCCGGGCAGACGGCACCTTGGCAAGAAGGGCCAATTGTGCTGTGCAAGTGCTAGCCGCTAGCCCCTAGCCTGTGCGGTTTTGGTGTTTCCTGGTTGAGCCAATCACCATGGACCTGGTTTGCCTGGTAGGCACTTTTCGCAGCTGCAGCTGCTGGGAAAGCAGAGTCTGTAGCCCTACTGCTTGCTGCAGGAGCATCGCCTAGGCGGCGCGTGGGTGCTTTGGCAATTTTGTTGTGTTGCTTTTGGGGGGATTGCTTCGACACAGTGCCTTTCCAGAAACCTCCGTTTCTGGTCTAGCATGCCATTTCTTCTGCCAGCATCAGCAGCACGAATGGAGCCACACCATTGCATGTGGCCGCAGAACAGAGTTATGGCAAGAATCTGGGCGGCAGCAGCAGAATGTCAAATGTTCAATGGCTCTTGCCACAAACTTCGGCATTGTTTTGCTTTAGACCCGATTTGGTACGAGTTTGTACTGGATCATTTTGGACAGTTTGCGCTAGGATTTGTTTGGCTCTGCTGGAAGGGCGGGCAGATCCAAATTGCAGAGATGGCCGTGGACTGACCCCAGCCGCGCTTGCTTCCAGCAACGAGGCCAGGTATTGTGTTTCAAATCACGGTGTTGTCGGTCAAGCGGCATAACCCATATCCAACATTGTTTTTGACATTGTGGTTTGTTTAGCATGGTTTATGTTTGTTGCTTTTACAGATGCTTTTACTGTAGACTTTAGGCACTTTGGCCCCTGTTCTCTGCAGCTGGCTGCGAACGCGTCCAGTCACATGGCACGAGCTTAATCCACTCTGAGTCACACTGTTTCAGCCAAAACGTCTTGAGAACTCGAGGAATTCGAACACGCGTGCTTCCACCCTCAAGCCACGCTGAGGCAGGCAATGCCATTGCAATCAAACTCGCCGGAGCGGAAGGGTCAGGGAACTTGCAGCTCAACAGATGGGTTTGTACCATTTTGTACCTCAAAGATGTATATATATATATTATATGGGATTTCTCACATGGATCAACAAGTAGAGAAAGTATAGAGCAATGGCCAACTTTGAATAGCAATCAGTGTGAGAGCAGGATACAACGGTGTGCTCTACGCCTTTCTCTCAGAGGGTTTGCTTTTCAATGCTTTTCATCCAGATGTGAGCAGCCTCGCACTACCCAGACGGCCAAGCTCTGCAACAAGCACTACACAGCGAGGGATCCTCCGCAGCATTTGCCTCCGGATGTTACTCGAACACACACACATGTATATATATATACATATACACATATATTATTTGTATATATGCACATATATATATATATATGCAGGTGCATTTGTACGTGCATTAATTATTTCATATGATTTTTTTACTTGGCATGGCAGTCGCTGGGCGATGCATGAATTCACCTTGGCACCAAGAACCCCACCATCCATGACGCACGCAAGGACAGCACGAACGTCGCAAGTGAATCCGATCGACATTCTAGCAGCTGAAACTAGCAGCGTAGACTTGTCTTCAGCTGCCAGCTCTTTTCGCTTGCAGTCGTTGGGCCTTTAGAGGCCACTATATATAGTTTGCGCATGTTGCGCCAAAAGAAAGCCTGAAAAACAGGCCTTCTTCATCCTGTTGCCACTTTGCGTTCCAAAAAGCTATGCATTTGCGTTGGGACGTTGCGCCACACCACGCTTGCAAACTTTTGTCCGGTCCTTGTCCCAAGAGTTTGTGCGTTTGAGGTTGACCGGCCTGGCCTTGCCAAGCTGATCTTGTGCAGGTAAGCTGCAGGTCCGACTCTTTCATGTCCAAAAAATCGAGGGTGAGCTGAGCGGGTTTACACGAGCTTACGAACGCTTCGACAGGCTGGAGAGAAGTGAAAAATTTCAGCTGGAAAGCCGCTAAGACTTCCTTGGGAATCTCACTGCATATGTGCCAGTGGCCAGGAATTAGACTTTTTCCCCATGTGGACAGACTTATTGGACCGCAACTGTGATTTGGAACCTGTAATTTCATCTCTATTGTTTCTTCTGGTGCCATAGGGTGAAAATTCCTTGAGATTCCCTGAGGCCTCAGTTATGGTCATAAACTTGGAGTGGCTTAACCCGTGGGAGCTTCCAAAAATGTAAATACAAGGTGACACAGGATTAGATTAACACTTCACAGGATAAAGATGAAGGCAGTGAGTAGTGGTTAGTATGCGTGATGTTGCGCAAGTTCTGAGAGAAGGGTCGAGCCCATTGAGCGCAACGCTCGCTCTGATATTGATTTGATCAAGCCAGTCGCCAGACACTTGGAAAGTAGATGGTCTGTGCTGGCTTGGTTGACCATGCTGGCTGTGCAAATATGTCCAGCGTATTGTGGACTGGAGGTTGTTCGTCGTTTACTAACAAGTCTTTGGACATTCCACTGGCAGGGGCTTGGTGCCAATCGTCCATGCGAATTTCAAGGACCACGTCCCTGCCAAGCCATTCGTAAATACCTGGAGGACAAAAAGGCATGAGCCAAGAACGACGTAAGATCTGACCAGTATTACTAACGATGCATGTACGAATGTACGACTATTTGAGCATGGATGGCTCAAAGTGGATGCCCGGCACTTATTTAAGCATTGCAGAGTACATTGAGTGGCTTCATCCAGAGCCAAATGATCGTTTGCACTGGTTACTGGTTGCCTAGAAGCATCTTACAGCAGCTGTGACATGTGATTGCCAACTGCAATGCAGTCCTTCTTTCATCAAAGCTGGCATCACTTTCAAAGAAAGTATGGTGTGTCAAGGCTTTTGTAAGTGCGCTGCGCCATTAAATAGCAGGAAAACTCCTTGCGAGCGTTTTGTGATGTTCTTTGTTCTTGCAATTCCAACATAATTTGAAGAATTACACCATTGGATTACCTTCAGTCACCCCATATCAAAGCATGACAAAACACAGCAGGTCAGTGTTAGAAATTGTTTCTTGGCTCTAGGACTTAGCTCTCAATTCAGTATAGCAAGGCTGAGAGCCTCAGTGGCCCATGCAGCTTTACCAGCTCTTTGTTGCGATGTGTCTCATGTTTCACAGATTTGTCAGTCCACACTGTAGCGTTCTTTGGAGCTGTCCCAATTGTAATTTGCACATCATGGCGAGCTATGGTCGAAAGCGGCAGCTTGTAAAGACCTCAGGATGTGGTTTGTGGGCATCCTCCGATTCTCACAGCAGACGCACCGAGGAAACACGAATACGCGGGAAGGAGACTGTCCAGCATCGTGCCTAGATGTGCAGCGCAATACCTAGGCTGTTCTTCCTCCAAACTGGTGACAGTCCAAAAATATCCAAGCATAAGCATCACCATTTCAGTAGCTGATGCTTATTGACCTTCACTATTGGTGACTGCTGGGTGGGGAGTGGATAGTGTGAGTCATTATGTGCACCTAACTTAATTTAATATACAATTGTATATGTATAATGTCTACAACTAGACCTGCACACTCATGACTCTGTCTTTCGGTTCAGACGTAGCTGCCAAAGTCGCAGCACTATACGATACCACCTCATTTGATGTCCACATCTAAGACCAATTTCTACGTAGTTCTAAGACCTGGAGCTGCCTATCTTGGCCCAACTTTGATGAAATTCATCAACCAATTTCAGACGCTGTTTCGGCGTCTACCGGACTACCCTTGCCAATGTTGTCACTATTGATCGCTTGTTGATTGGTTTGAAGAGACCCAGCTAATTTAGCTTTGACCTCTCCAGACCGCAGAAGTTTCTGCCTGTGTTTGTGAAAAACATGGGTGTCCGCAACTGTTGGCTGATGCAGCTGTGGTACAGTCTGCATGATCCATGCGATGCGCCTTCTTTGGGCTTTGATCCTGGTCGCGAAGGGTGCCCCAGACTGCCACAACCCGCTTTTTCTGGTACATTGGCCTGGCAGAGCCGCGCACTAAGACTACTTATATAGTGGTCTGGCACGAGTCACGAGAAGATTTGCTTGGAGACGAAAACAAAAGGTTGTCATTTATCGGAAGCGGCATATTAAGAATTCAAGAAAACAAGATGCCTTATTAAAGGGGCCCTTACCTTCTTACTCGTATTTTCCAATTTGTTTGAGCAATGTAATTTGTGGAGCTAGCTCTTTGAACTTTGACCTGTGAGGCTTGCGAGCGAATGTGCCCAAGCAAGCTGAATGATGAACCAGCGGCTGCCACAAACCTAACACTGTGCAAGCATTGGATTCCTGGCGGCACACTTTATATATATATATATAACGTGGATGTCTATACTACAGTATATTACTATATATGTATATACTGTTGCCTCATCCACGGGGGTGACACGAGAAATGTAACTTGTAGTTACAGTAAACGTAGTTGGTCAAATTGCAAGGCGATGCTTACTGTTTTGACAAGTCAACACTGCTGTCCAATGGGGTGATAGACACAAGTCCACAGCAACTACTGCATAGCGGCAGAGCGAAGGAATGGGCTTTCTAGCTGCTGCAACACTGGATTGGAGGGAGCTCAGCTTTGGGCGCATCAGCAGTGGAAGAACCGCTTGGGCTGGTTTGTCACCAGCTTGAGAGTCTCGGTCCGTCTTTGAGGATCCACTGCTCAATCATCGGTTATATACTGTAATGTTATAGAGTTGAACTTGACATGGGGTGCAATGCTGCCCTTTCTTGGCAGATGCAGGCTGCTAGAGCGATGCTGGGGGATGTGTGCCGCATCCATTCTGGGCCTTATAGCACCAGAGTTACAGTACGTTTAGTTTCCTACTGGCATCTATGGGTGTTGCATGGCGCTGCTATCCCAACAAGTGTTGGGGTCGGTCTCTAAACCAGAGTCATGTGGCGCAGAGCTTTGGCAACGCCCTCTCATGCTGCGACAAAGGAGATTATGCGGCTGGGATGGCCATGCGGCGCCTCACAAGGGTGTATGACTATGCAGGTGCAGAACATATTTGACGGTTCTGGCATGCTGAGTCTATTTCTCCCGTGATTAGTGGACTCTACTAGCACCAACTACATGCGGCAAGTTGCAGAACGGTATTTGCATTCAAACGGATGAAGATCACACTGAAAGCCTGGACACAATGAGCTGCCCAGATACTGAGATGAGGCAGCTTTTCGCTGGGCCCTTGGACTAGTCTTGATGTCCCGAGAGATAGCTTTTGTTGCGCAATGAACCATAGAGGTCATTTCCAACATCCAGCAACATCCATTGGCACGAGTGAAGACAAGCCTTTAACATCTTTAACCACACACATCGTAGATGGGCCAGATGTGACCACGATATGGTGAGGATCGAGCGGCAGATGCGGTGGCGGTGTCAACAGAAAAGTTTGCTCCCTGCCTTCTAGCCCTGTTGCAGTATGTGGCGGGAATGCTGCTTGGAAGCATTCCGCAAAAACGCACCTCATCTTGAGCGATTCTAGAGTGATGAGTGATTGAATGCCAAGGATTTGCTTCATGTGCGACCCTCAATGGGCGACTCAGTCGAAAAGATTTGTTGCCACATACAGCACGTGGTAAATGTACAGAGCAAAGACATCAAGAGTGACATGAGCAGTGAGAGCCAATTGTCAGGACACCTACCTATATGCCTCCGATGATCATGCAGCTGTGCAAGGACACAACAAGCACTATGCGGAAGGCAGGCATTAATTAATCAGCGCTTAGAGACTGAAGGTCCTTTTTGCTGCGCAGCACTTGATGCAGATTGATGCAGTAGGTAGGTTTAGCTAGTCATATGTGGTGTCCAATTGCTGTTGTGAGAATACAATAGGCGGCATTTTTGTTTCTACCTTGTGTTCTTTTGATGGTCCAAAGTTTGTTTCAACTTTGGAGTTGATGTATATTGCAACTATACAATGCTATATACAATTGTCACAATTGATGGTTTGCCAGAGGTGCCAAAATTAATTGCTCGAAGATCTCGCAGGTGTCGACTACACTTCTATCGCCATCGGGGTCTCCGCATGTACATCACTTTGGGCTGGTTGTGAAGCATTCTCCAAGTATGCCATGATTGCTTGGGATCCCCGAATGCATTTGTCAAGCGGTGTGTGCTGCCGTTTGGATTAACAGCTCCACATAGCTCCACCAAATAGCTTTGGTCGCTCGGAAAAGGGGGCGTCTTCCACGTGCCCCAGGCTCCTTGAACTTTTCCAAACATTGTGGATGGCCAACGTAAAGCCTGACGTCCATCGATCACCGCTCGTGTTTCGACCTGCTTCACCTGAGCCACGGTCAAAACGCTTGTTTGTACCAGTTTCCGTAAGAACCCCAAATAGGGTGACCATTCCCACGGAGCTTCGTCTTCGACCACGGACCGTAAGTGTGAACTTTGCGGTCGTTTTTTCCGTGGTTTGGATGGCTGTGTCAGGAGAGAGTGCTGCAGTGTCCTTTGGCCAAGCAAATTGAGCAGCCCTTGCCTGACCTGGAGCCCTTTCAAAGCAAGTCTGCCTTGTGTGAGTGGGCGCGGAATCTTGCTTAAAACATCCAAGAGCAAGGCCAAGGAAGTTGTTGACAAGACATTTGCACGAAACTCTTCTATATTCACCAGGGCCACCACGCTAGAAAAGCAAGGTGTTCAAGCCAGTTTATATTCAATAGACCCAAAGACCTTTTTTTGTTGTGTTTTTTCTCTATCAAACGCGTTCCAAACACTGTTACATTTTGCTCTGAGGAGCAGCGTCGCACTTCATCCCATGCTGGAGTCTCGACATGTGAATCCACAGCCTTCCTTGCCTCAGCTGCCCTGGGATGCCAGACAGGACCCAGCTGATTCCTTTTGGCACATGTATACACATGTAGGATGTAGAGTTCATGCCAGTGGCATCTTGGAGAGTGACAGCAAAAACTCCAGTCGGCCACAGGCCCAGACCACCTCTTCCACGACAGCGGCATCATTCCGCCAACTAGCTGAAGCGCCCTGGAAAGCTTTGGTGAGAAATTGTTGTCTTTTGCACCCCCACTTGCACAAGACTTGCCCGGTCAAAGTGCCAGACGTGGGCCGAGGACCTATCAGGCTGCTGGCTTCAAGTTTAGATATGACTTGATGCCATTCGATGTCTCCGAATGCTTTAAATTACGTTAAATTTGTAGTGTTAGTAGTACTGCCTGTATCGAGCCTAGGTTCTGGCTGGGGACGCTGGTTTCTTGTGGCTGCACTTCAGCAGCCGGACAAGGCAGTTTTAGTTTGAACTTCTTTTGCACCTTGACTGTGTTGTCCAACACATTGTCGTCCTGACCCTTGCATGACTCATTTCATTCTGGCACGCTGGCCCTAATTTCTGGTAGGATTGATGTTGTGGTACAGGTTATGGCTGGCAGCGTGCCTGATCATTTTGGTGTCTTGCCGCGGAAGAGTGTCCCGCTTCATACTTTTACTTGTGTAAAGCCGTTTGGATGCTGCGTTTCTATGCGGGCTAGATGCAAGATATGCTTTTCTTTAGAGGATCAGTTCAACAGCAAATGAAAAACAGGCTGATAAAATACAATTCGAGAATCAAGAACAGAACCGGCACTTCTTCAACATCCTGTGGCTGTTGCGGGGTTGCTCAAGTTCTTTTTATTGGGAACCGGGTAGGTGAGTACCTGGGACTTGCGCGGCACTCGGGCCAGGCTCGAAAAGACTCGCATGGCCCATGTTTCCCCCCAAAACTCGTTTGTAGCGATCTACTGTACTCGCCATGATGCTGAACAAGCATTCTCGTTGGCTTTCGGTCCCGCAAAAGCTACAAACTTCGACATGTCTTTTTGTGCGAATGGACGCGAGTTCCTTGATGCACTGCAGTTTTTGAAAACATACTGTTTCCATGGTGTTGTAAGATAAAGCGGGTGACACTTCGCACTCCGGGTTTCCGACTTTCTGCATGCCCGGGTGACTTAACACATGTGATAGTGCATGAATACAGCTTGTCGTTTTCCTTACAGTTGTGGTTCAACGTGTAGATCTACTTGAGGTGCAGCAGTTCAGCTTGAACTTGCTGGAGGAGAAGAGCTAGGCATGCGGGCGTTCTGTTCTCCATACTGTTTGATTGACAATGTTAAAGTGGGTCAATTGAGAACCAGTCTGAGGGCATATCTCCCATATAGCTGCAGCAAATTCCAAAGCAGCTGAAACTCCGGCAGAGATCTTCATTGCAGCCAGAATTGGGGAGAGCAAGTGTCTAAGCTGCACAGATGCGTTTGCGCGGCTTGGCAAAGGCATCACTTGCCGAGGTCCGAAAGCATCACCAGATACAAGTATGTCATTGAGGAAGGCGGGCCAAACATGAGTCACGCGAAATACTCGTGCCTGGCTTAGCTCAGTTTGTGGGCTCTTTGCTAGGAAAAGTTGTGCTGTCTGCCGCAGTAGCAGTATGGCCAGCTGAGGGTGCACAGAGGCCAGGGCAGTATGATCAGTATGTGTTTTTCCAGCTGATTTTCCTTTTTGTTTTCTTGTTTTTTGGTGACATGACCTTTGTTATGCTTCTCTGAGCTAAAGCCCAACAGTGTCATCCAGCGCTTAGAATAATTAAGAAGTTGCCATCTCATGTATAAGGAAAGGGCTCGTTCTACATGGTTCTCTTACGCGTGCTGAATTATTAAAGTGTTGAAGCCTTTTTTCGCTGAGGCATGCGACATGCCTGGCCACTTATGGTGGCCACTTGTTTGTTGCGGATGATGAGGGTCGCATTTCCCAACTTAGTGCGCATGCCATGGATGCTGGAGCCAGGCTTGGGGGCTGAGGGTCGTGTGGATGTTTCATTGATAGAGACTTTGTTGCAGCGTTTTCCAACCTTTCCAGTCCGTGGTAAGGATCGATGGCGTCCAGCTCCAAGAAATGCAGCTGGACTAGCAAGTGATACTCATAGACAATGCCTAAGAATGTGGCTCTTCCGCTTGCAATGACGATTGATTAGTGCACGTTCAGCACCAGAAGGCTGAACCTGACAGGTTAGATGTTCCGGAATTCATGTGATACAATTTATGTACTGTATAATACTGTATATAAATTGTCTTCCACAGCCTACTGCCATGGACACTTGTGAAGTGGAGTATACGGGACAGTTCTGTAACTCCGCAGGAAAGGAGTGTTTGGGATGCTTCTCAGGCAGATGCGCACTGACAGCGTGGGAAACACCGCCAGGGTGTCAATAACTGGACTGGCTGTGTCAGAAGATGGCGAGAAGGTGTATTGGCGGGGGTCTTGGCTCACATCACTGATGAAATGAAAAGAAGGGTCCATTGCTCGCAGAAAGGGTGTGGAGATGTGATGATAATTGAGGCAAAGTGTTCACGTTCGCCATGCAACTCGAAAGGGACGAGACGCAGTTGAAAACATGAGGTCCACTCCTTTCCAAATTTCTTCTTCGCCCTCCAGTGGTGGCACAGTTACGGAAGTGCTCAGTGAGGAACAGCTACTTGAGCAAATGGGAGACCACCTCACACATTTTAGCATGGGGCTTTGTGTGTACGAGGACCTATCAAAACCTGTCCTTAGATTGTTAGTTCCGATATATCTTGACATTATCTTTGATAAAGATATGGTCTGATATGCTTTGAGAAAGATATATCCTTAGCAGCACTCCCTTAGATGTTGCCTTCCTGTCTTTGTTGCCTCAAAATAGCAGAATTTTCAGCATCGCAAACGGTACCCACAACGATACCATTCTGATCCATATTTGAGCATTTTTAGGCCCACAAGGCCAGAGGTCCACACGTGTTCCACACATGGGGAAAGTAGCAAGGACAATAGAGCGCTTAGCCTCAGTTCTTTTGCATTATTTTGTGCAAGCTGCATGCTCGGATGGGTTGGTTGTCTGAGGTTGCAGAGGCTAGCAGGGGACCAGGCTCGGGTCTTGACCCTGGCTTTGGCTGCGCAGCTTTTCTTTGTAGTACACAAAGGCCGGGCTGTGTAATGGCCGGATTTTGCTTGTAGCAAATGTCTTCATTGGAAAATGCATTCCTTTTCTCAAGCTTGACTTTGATAAAACAGCCTGGAGAAAGCAGTGTCAGTGTGTTGGATCAGGAGCCTCAAACTTTCAAGGCTTATTTGGACAGTTTCGAAGCTGCCCACATGAAATTTATCATCACTGTACCAAGTCAGTTGGTACACTTGCTGTGACTCCCATTCTTGACCCTGACCCTTGAGGTACTGTACCTGTTGTGCTTTGGTTGGTAGTGCATGTTCCACACGTCAATGCCAGGCCAGGAACTGCACCTGCCCAACCAAGCAACAAATATGTTTTTCTTACCCATGGTTGCTTTTCGCTTTCTATGTTTGCGGGAAGCCCCAGACGGAAATGTTGCTCATCGGCCCATCGGTTGCAAGCAGGCCAAAGTAATTGCACGCATCAGCCGTGCGAGCATTTGCAGCTTTTTTGCCTTGGCCGACCTTGGCAATTTCCCCCTCCCGACCTATGCAAGTGTTCTTTGATTTTTTTGAGGTATGTTTACCATCAAGCACAAGTCAATCGCCTCAGATGCTGGAAGTCTTAATTGAGTAGCAACACAAACCAGAAAAATTGGAACATGCGACTGGAAGAGCTCTTCTGGAACCAAAACCTTCTGAAAGGCCGATTGAAAAGGTTAAATCACGGGGTCATTGTCACGCATGCATTCTCTTATCTCCTTCTATTAGCTTTGCTGCTCCTGGTTCGCCATTTTGTAATTAGTTTCCCTCTTTTTTGGGGTTGCATTTTCGATTGTTGCAAGCCTGCCGCACAGCTTTTGTTACCCACCTTGACTTTCCAATCGCTTGACCTGAATCATCCTCTTGTCATCTTCACCTCACTCCCCTCCTTTTTGGGTGGCTTCCACATATCTTGTCTGCACTACCGGTCACTATCGCCGAATGTACCAGTCTTGGGTACTACGAGGCCTAGAGCAAGTCCGGTGGAAGCTCTTGTGCAACCATTTCAGGTTGTTCAAACTATGGCCGCAAGTCACGCATATCATGCACAAAGTATTGGACTGTGATTGCGAAACTGCTGCGCAATAAGAACTTTCTTTCCTGGTTTTTCCTTGCAGCAGCTTGCCAGGTGGAACTATCCAAGCCTGCTACCTTTACCGCATGCATTTGGACGGTGAGACGGTGGCACTTGATTTCCATTGGCCAGTGAGCAAGATGCTGCTGAGTGCCCGAGCTACCTCAAGAATGTTAGTCTAGTCTCATTGAAGTCAGTCCTATTGCCAGATTTGTGTCCTCAAAGCCCCAGATTTGACATCTGAGGCGTATCTAACGACGGGCGTGGCTCCACACTCTTTGCAGCTACACCTCGGGACATCTATGCAATACCTTCGGAATTTCAGTTGCAACTGCAACTGGATGCGCTGTTTGACCACGTTTGGCAACGCATTCTTCAGTTCAATTCTCGGTTTAAGCCGCCCAGGAGTTTTCAACCAGTGCCACTCCTGAGTTCGTGTTCGACTCCAAATCGGAACATCACATCCCGCAGTTGGTGAGTTTCTTGGTCCAACTTGGAACCCACAAGTGACTTCAAAGTGATAGGTCGCAGCCAAGGTCTTGATAGCTTTTATGTCAGAGGAACCGATTGCATACTTGGAAATTGGACGAAAGTGGGCCAATGCCTGGGACCCAGCAGGAATCAATACCAGGTTTTACAAAGTCTAGCAGCATTGTGTTGTTAGGCTCCAGGACTTGTGGTGGTGGAAGGCAGAGGCCACTGTTCTGAAGCATCATTGTATAAACATCTAAATAGCTGAAATCCTTGGAACATGAATGAACTGTGACCATGACACCGGCTTGCACATGCAGCATTCCTCAAACTGCGGAGCACTACTGCAGTGCACCGCCAGGCTTGAGCGACCTGTTCTGACAAAGGCGGCTGAAGGTGGTCGCCCTTGCCCAGCACTTCGCGAGAAAGAAGAGGATCACGGCACAGGGACACTTTGCAAAACTTGATATGGACTCAAGTCGTTGCAGGACTGCTTCGACCAGCCATGCCCAGAGGAAGCCACCGATTGCCTCATTGGCGAATTGGCACGCATTGGAAGGCAAACAAGTATGGTCTAATTAAGACTATATATATATATGGCTTAGGGATTTTTCGTCTGTTCCCGATCAATATTCTTTTCGAGGGATTTTTGACTTGAGTGCTGATGTGGATCACACCAAAGTTAGTTCCAGGCCAGTGGACCAATGAAGCACCGTGCTCCGCAACCTGCGGCTATGGTTTGCTTCGCCAGCCCGATGCTCATTGACGCTTTGACAGTACCCATGCCAAGGTTAGCAGCAGAGATTTGATATTTGTTATGTACATATATATGTATATATATATATATATATATGTGTGTAAATAATATGTATCATGTATATATCTATAGAGAGAGAGAGAGAGATCGAACCCTGGAGGCGAAGGGTAGTTCTTCGAGCAGCGGAATATGGTGGAAAAGCATGCCCTGAAGGGCGGCAGCGCAGCGTGGAACCTCGACACAGCCTAGTTGAGCTTCATGAACAGTCCTATTGATCCCATTGCTTGCTTGTTGGCAACTGAAGGATTGCATTATCACCGAGTGTGGTGGTTACGACTTCTTGCTGTTGGCAACGTCCGGCCATTTGCCGCAAGACTGCAAGAGGTTTGTGTTGGGATACGCTTCGAGCAATGGCCAACATGCAAGATGGCTTTCCAAGGCTTTCCGCTCAAGTAGTGGGTTTGAAGCAAGACCTGGCATGGACAAACGCGTCAGCAGCTGGATTGCAAATTCATGAAGTGCATTGGGTACGGTAGTAAAGGACAGGCAGATTCCACTCAGCCAATCATGTGCAATCGCTTGAGCCGCTTGGGCAGTGGTAATGGAGTGTCAGAATTCAATGCACTTATGCATACCTGGAACTCAACTCAGGAGATAGGCGCGCCGCCATGAACAGATCAGAATTGTACGTCGACAAAGTGCATACTTGGCACTCACTTCAATTCATTCCGATGCCCGTGCACACTGTAGAGCACAAGACGCACGTGCAGACAAACATTTATCCTGCACTTGCCGATGCATGCATGACAGGCAGCACTTGCAAAGCTTACATGTGAGGATGTTTGAGCGCTGCTGTAGATTTTTCTCAAACACTGGAAGGCTCTTTGCCGCTGAGTAATGCAAGTGAAACACTACTTGCTGTGGATTCGGGAGATGAGTTCATGTACGTAGCTGTGCATGGAGGAGCTGTTAGGGCCTTTTGTCGTGTCACCTGTGACTGTGGCGATTCTTGCCACACGCTAGTAGTTGTGTTTGCAACTTCGAGGAGCAGAGATCCTACGATGGTCATACAGTATTGGAGATGGGCACATCCTGTCCTTCTCTTCAAGACACACCATTTTGGACCTGAACGCAGCTCAACGAGATAACGAGCTTTGAGATGTCATGTGAGCATCTAAGACACTGACAGCGGCAAGGGACGACTTTTAGGGACTCATTAAAGTTAGATTATATAATGTGCTTGCTTTGTTCGTGACCCGCACGTCCCCATGGCATGGCGAATCATTTTGGCACACAGACTGTGAACACGGGCTCGGCATTATATTACTGTATTTCTGCAGCTTCTTTTGGATATTTGCTATGCGGTTCCTCTGCCAACGAAGAAAGAAGAACATGTCTAAGGCAGACGCGCATCGCCATCCTCAACACATTGTGGACATGAAGTTTTATGTCGGCTCACTCTATGTTGCTGTTGCACAAGGGCATCTTGGACCTGGCAAACGCTTGCTGATTTTGAGACTCACTTCCTTCTTTTTGGTCTAGACTATGCATACAGCCCGCAAACCATTTGACGTTCCCATATCCTATATGCACATTTTTCCCACAACAATTGGAGGGTGTGCAAGGTTTCTCCCTTTCCAATTGACGTGAAGCCTTTCTTTCTCCAAGACGCCGCCGGAAGCCCACCAATCGAATCCAATCCTTCCTGTTACAAGGGGCCGTTTGTCACATCACGATCCATGATACAAGACAACGAATTGGAATCAAAGAAGCGGAAGCTAAACCAATCCTCAACCAAATTTGAGAATCATCATTGTTATATACATTGTTCAGTTTCAGGTGCTTCATGGGTGGGCTGCCCTCAGAAATTCCTTGATGCAACGCTTTAGATAACTTTATATAAGCCACTTAAATGTTATCCATTGAAATAGAAAGTGCTCGAAAGTTTCGAGGTTGTGGATGACAAGGCCTTTACTACTCGGTCTCCTCAACAATGATTATAGCATGGAACATGTTCAGAGGATCCTAACCCTTTTGACAATTCAGCGTCCACCATTAGGGGACAGACATGCGGACGCTGCGATGTGTTTTCAGGCGTATCTTCCGTATAAACGAGGATGACACTCGGCAAAGTAATTGGTTGTTTGCACTCAGTTTAGGTCAAGCAATTGCTGGTTTCAAGCTAAACCATGAACCAGGAGGTGCCTCATCGGTCTTAATCATGGGATGCTCACGGAAGGCTTTGTTAGATGTTCTTGGACTGTGTGTCCTTTCAAGTGTCAGCTTGTCCTCCGAGGCACTTTTGTCATCCAATACAATGGCAGCCGTTCATGAACTCTACAAGGCTTGGCCAGTTTCGCTCCAGTGGCGGTGGCAGTCCGTTGGGCCCGTCTTGCTTCCAAGAACAAACCAGTTTGACCAGTTTCTTCATTTTGCATGGCATAATGTTTGTCATACTTTCAAGCCGATATGACATGACTATCCAAGTCAAGATGCCTCTTGCATTGCCCAGTCTGCAGGACCTGTCCAGGTACTTGGGTGATCTTCGCAGCCTTTCGGTTGCCGGTACGTATCTCCTTTGGACGCAATCATCGCAGGCGGCCCTGTTTGGCCAAACAGCAAAACTGCACAAGCCAACGTCGGAATTGATCAGTGCTATTCTTGGAGCAGGTGACACTCGGCAGCGTGGATGGTATGAAGGAAGAGGTGTCTGACAGAGCACTTCTGGTGGAGAAATCTCTTCAGGACTCCCGGGGACGGATTTGGGGCGAGCGTTGGGACTATTGAATAAGCTACTAGGAACAAGTGCATCGCTACTAGTAATATGTTTTAACATTGAGACAATCTGATTCTGACAGTGAGGCTTTTTCCTCCCATCCCCTGAAAAGCGTTCCGGACCCCTGCCTGGGCTATTGCTAAAGCATCCCGGAGCTGGTAGTAGATACTGTAAAATGTAGATGATTCTATAATGGGGCCTGGCTCGAGTTGTGATACTGGATCTAACCGCATGCCCAGCTTAGCTTGTAGACACTAGCTGTTGCCACTAGCTGTTTCCAAATTCACCCAATTGGACGCGACATGACATGACTGCCTCTTCTACTGCCCACTGCCACTGTTTGTTGCTGCGACTATCACTGTGCCAGCATGGCCAATAGCCTGCTGTTGCGACCACTGGCATGATACAATTGCATGGAAGTAGGGTTCCGGGTTCCAGTAGTTGGACCACGGCAGACCGGGCCGTGTGGTTTCGTGCTCTACCAGCCCCACCCCCCGAGTGTGTTGTTTGTAGTTTCCTGGTTCCTCAATTTAAGCTTTGTGCATATTGCTTTCTAGTTTGGCTCTTGTCAAGACCCAATGCAGCTGCTAGCACTCCAGAGCCATAACAGAAAATATCGAACTCACCGCCATTTGCCCGTTCATACTTCAGGTCCGTAGCTAGCCTGCCGCTTTTGGGGGATCTCTTCCCACAGCAAACACACGTTAAATCACTTGTCCTTCCGCTGTCGTGTTTGAAAGCATTGCATTCAGTGGGGGTTGAACAGTGGATATGATCACAAAAAGATCACGCGCTGGCCAAAGACGGTTTGGGGCCTAGGGTGGCACGGTGAACGTGCCGTAAACGGTATCAAAAACCAAAAGCAAACCAATGCAAGTGTGTGGCTGGACAAACCGTGCATGTGTTTGTGCTAGCTGCTGCCCGCATGTGTTGCGATGTAGCCGGTGCTGGGCTGCTGCAATGCTTATCAACGCACCAGCACAATGATTTTGCCACCGTGTTGAGAGTACTTAGCAAGAGTGCATCCTGCCAGGATTTGGCAGGTTCTTTGGTGGAGGTGGCTTGGTGAGAACCTGGCGTTGCCCTGCTGTGTTCTGGTGCTGTCGTGGGGGCTCAGGGGAAGCGCGAGCAGCGTGCACGAATAATGGTGACACTGCACTTGGTTGTCAATTGCACCATGTGTTCATACTTTGATGCTTGGCTGCTCCTTGACGTCGGCCTTCATGTTGAGGTTGTGCAAGCAGAACTGGCTGCTGACGCAACAAGCTTTTTTGTCGCAGTTTGGGACACAGACCAAGCAACATTGTCAGTTTTCCAGGCAGGCTGATTGACTGACTCCATGCTAATTTCGCATGCTTGAGATTCTGTGGTCAATTGTCGTTGAATAATTGTTGTACTCAGAGACTCACCTGGGTTCTTGCTATGTACCCTGCCCTATTGCTCTCGGAATTTGCTTGCATGCAAGCTTGTCACTTGAGTCACTTGCACCAACTGCAGTGATGAAACCTCGTGCTGTTGTGCCAGAGGTCGCCATTTCTGTGGAGACTACCAGCAATGCCATGGTAGAACACCAGCAACTGCGGGAGCTCCGCCAGAGCTGGACAAGCCGTGATGTAAGCCATTCGCCTGCAGTGAGCACAGATATTGCATGAGCCTGTTGCAGCACCAACATGCTTGCAGACACATGTGCCCCACGAAAGTCAGTCAACAACTCTTTGCAGCATGGATGGTGCTAAAATGTATTGCTATGAAGGCCTGCTGTTGTTTTCTTTGCAAGAGTTGGGGTGTGAGACCAGAGTCCAATGTTATCACTGAGGACTAATGCTCACACCATTCTCTGCTTTCGTTCTGGCCTAAGTAACGTACACATCAACCAAGAATATGAGTAGTCATTGTGGCTTCGAAGGTGCATAATCGTAACGAGATTTGGATGTTCCCCACGAGTATCAGTAAGGACGCCGTGCCCTAAACGGCCCTGTGACTGAACGGCCCTGCCCTTTAATTTGGATTGTTCTTCCCTTTGCATGCAGGACACAACGCCGTCCCAGATATCCTCGAGCGACCCTTAGATTGTGTGAAGGTATGCCTGCAATAACGATGTTTTTGCTAAGCTTACCACAACTTACCTTCACTCGTGGCACATAACTTTTGACGCCAGTCCGAGGCCTGGATCTTCTAATCGAATCTCTGGTTGTGGCTTTTTCTTCCAGAAGGGTTTGGTTTCGCAGCTGCAGCTCCAGACCCTCCCTCACAATCCTGGAAGACCATTAGCCCTCTAGACATCTCTAAACAGGGGTCTGCTCACCTTGCATGATTGTTTTAGGGAGGGTATTGTATGCGTTGTTGGTAGTTTTCCGCATATTTCCGGTCAGAGTGGACCTAGATGCAAAGTTTGCCCTGATGTGTTGCCGGAACCCAAGGATTGCAAGGTTTCTGATTGGCTGAACATGAGCTCTTGCAGTGCATCGTGCGGCGGTGGTCTTGTGCGTCAAGCCAGGGAGGTTTTAGCGGAACCATCTCTAGGCGCTGGGCCGCTGGGTGGCGCAAAACATTTTGGACATTTGCCCCACAGCCTTTTGGCTATACAGCTTTGCATTGCATTGCGTCGCTAACCTTGTGAGTCGCAAGTAATCTTAAAGCACTGTGATTGGAGCACCTATGCTCTTACACACAGTCAGGCTGAACGACCGAACCATGTGCACGGCAGGGAGACGTCCACGAGCATGCCATCTTTGTCGTAGACGGTCATAGACCATGGCGGGAAACATGCGAAAATAGCTATATGGTGGTGGCAAGAGTGCCCAAAGCGTGCCAATCACGTTTTTGACCCTAGTAGCTTCTTGTTCGTAGTAGTCAGGCCAGGAGCCTCTAGTAGCGTCCTTGCTCCTAGTAGCGATGCCCTTTGCTCCTAGTAGCGAGCCTTGTTCCTTATACCCTTTCAGGTGGTCAGCCTTGCCCCGGAGACTTGGAGCGAGAAGTCGCTTGCAACGAGATGCTTTGCCCTGTCGACTGCAAGATGAGTCTCTGGAAGGATTCAGGCATGGTGAGCATTGAAGAGTCTGAAGGAAGGCTTTTGAAGCTTTGAAGAGTCTGGTAGTGGCAGAACTGCCGTACAGCGGTGCCGAAGGTGGCTGTTCACGCAGCTGCGGGGGCGGTACAATTGTTCAGTGACCTAGCAGCAGAACGAGCAATAAAGAAGTGTTGTAGACACTTGCCCAATTACTTCGCTGAAAGATTTCTGATGATTTCTGTCTTGCCAAGGACCCGAATCATTGAGTCCCACCCAATGTACGGAGGCGCTCCTTGCTCGACACTCTTCACAACTTGGAGGGCAAATGGTCGGCAAACGAGAAAATATATAACTTTGAGCAAGCTTCCCTGTCTAGTCTTGAAGTGGTGCTTCTTGTGCATTAATCAGATCTAGATCTAGTTAATTCATGTTAGTATGTTAGTTCATTAATTTCTGGGGCGAGATTGATATGGGGGGCTTGTTTGGCAGTGGTCTTGGTTGGAGTTGGACGGACTGAGGAAAGTCTTGGAGCATGAGGTGGGATGCAACTCTCAGCCGTGTGAAGGACCGAATCGCATCGGAGATCCGTAGGCTCCTGACTCCAGTGCTGACACTGCCTCTTGCACCGCAAAGTGGAGAGGAACTGACTGCATCTTCTCCGACTGGATTGACAAGGGCGCCTGCTGCTCGTCCCAATCGAGTTGATCGTGTTCACGTTGCGAAAAGATGTGACAAGAAGAAGAAGAAGAAGAAGAAGAAGAAGAAGAAGAAGAAGAACCACAACCACAACAACCACAGCAATCACAACCACGGGAGCATCATGAGCAAGATGTAGGAGAGTGCTCAGTGAAGCTATAAATTTGTCAGGCGTTCCACGGCCCCTTTTCATCAAGCCTACCCTTTGCTAGCTGATTTGGCTTAGCACTGTGCCATGCAAGTAAAGATGGAGGGAAGGACTTGCCCAATGGACAAAAAGCATGGTGCCGTCAACAAGTTGCATCACCTTCTTGGCCCCCACCACGCACGCACCCACACACACACACACATTCCGCCCCAATTCTACCTGACTGGCACCTGATCACACTCACTCATACTCTTCTCTGGGCCAACGCTCACCATCAGTGTGCCCTCGGGTGCCTCAACTAGTGCATAGACAAGTGACAATGAGAACAGAAACCTTGGAAGACTTTTGAAGAGAATGTCCATGCTCCATCATATCTCCTACTCCCTCTTTAGATCATCTCGTTTGACCATGTTCTCTCGGGCCAACGAGAGTTTCGGCAGTTGCTGACCTTTGCAGGCTCGCGGACATGTGGCGGAGGACGGCGAGAGCAGTATCGCAAGGCAACGCAAGGCATTTTAGAAACTTTAGAATCATCTAGATCACCACGATTGCAAGGCACTGAATCCTGGGTCGCCTGTAACATGTTTGGGACATGGTCTTTTCGACATGATTCAACTCTGTTCAAAGCTCCTTGATTGGGACACGAAGTGATCAGGTGTTGAGGGAAGCTGCCTTCGGTGGCAGGCCATGTTCGGACATGAATGCGCCTCTTGGCACTTGACACATTAAACCGACTAGTTAGCTTCTTGTTGCTAGAAATACTGGTTTTGTTGCTAGTAGCAATGCCCCTGCTACTAGTAGCTTCTTGTTACTAGTAACTAGTAGTGAAGCCCTTGTTACTAGTAGTGATGCCCCTGCTACTAGTAGCTTCTTGTTCCTAGTAGTGATGCCCTTGCCACTAGTAGCTTCTTGTTACTAGTAGTAATGCCCTTGTGGCCCTGCTACTAGTAGCTTCTTGTTACTAGTAGTAATGCCCTTTTTACTAGTAGCGATGCCCCTGCTACTAGTAACACTGTTCCTCGTGGTAATGCCCTTGTTACTAGTAGCGATGCCCCTGCTACTAGTAATTTCTTGCTACTACTAGTAATGCCCTTGTTACTAGTAGGGATGCCCCTGCTACTAGTAACTTCTTGTTGCTAGTAGTAATGGCCTTGATACTAGTAGCGATGCCCCTGCTACTAGTAGCTTCTTGTTACAAGTAG